AAGAATGGTCAAATTACTCAGAAAGTATCTAATTCTCACAGTGCATAGTTTTACATTTCATCACAGCTTGGACTCTTTTTCACAAAAATGTTGATTTTATTTGTAAGATTAAAAATCTGTTTCGAATTAACATGGCGTTTCAAAATAACTAAAATCTACATTTTCGGTTACATTAGATCAAGGGACATGTTGATCAAATTTCTTTGTTTATTAGTTTAAAAACGAAGCTTTATTTATTTTTTAAGGAATCTTAAATTTTAAATACTGCACCATTAAGCTAGACTTTTTTGAAAGCACGAGAGAAGGTTTAACGTCTACTCGACACAAACTAGGCCATTTCGTGACTAACATATGGTTCAATTGTATTTCCATAATTTGCTTGTGCGTAGGGGTCTTTAAAAGTAGGAGGAAACTGGAGGACCCGGAGAAAACCCACGAGGTTGGACAGGCGACCCTACTCCTTGTAACACACTTGAACAACATAAAAGCATGAATGTCACATAACAGTCTTTGAAATTACTATCCTTAAGAGTACCTCCAGATGGCAGTGCAAAACATTAGATTTCTTTGAAATGATATAATTATTGACGTTATATAGGTATCGCTTTAAAGATATAACTTTTTTGTGAATATGAGCCATGAGTTATAAAGTGTTTTGACGTTCCTGTTATTTAACGAATAGATGTCAGTGGTAACTAAGAAATAACAAATTTAAAAAGCCATTTTCATTGATTGATTTTAGAGCAATAAAATGATGAAATTTCTCCAAGTTGTTTATTGTAAAACTGCTAAGTAAAGATTCGTTATGCAAGAGCTAAATCTGCACATCGCAGGTCTTTATGATGGCTGCATATGTTATACAAACTATTATTTAGATATTTATTCACATGACAAGCCTATAATCAACTTTCAAGATCGTTGGATGGCGGATATTTAAATGGATTGAAACATGGTCGCTATTTCATGATTTAATTTTAAAAATGTCGAATCGAGGCCAAGTCTCAAATAACAACGATAATAAACAATCTATGCCATATCTTATCAAAACTTCAAACGGTGATAACTGGGCTCAAAATAAAGTAATTTGAATGGAATTTTCAATATATTCATTTTGCATAATCTATTTTTAAACTATTATCGAAAAAACAGCCAACTCTTTATCTAAATCTTACATAATGCATCTTTAAAGGCTTCCCACAACAGTTTTAATGCATTTATGTGGCGATTAAGTGCATATTTTACATTTCCTGAACACAGATACTCTTCATTTGCATCGTACATATTACTATAAAGTGTCTGTAACTATGACAATATCTTTACAACAAATACTTTCACAATGTGCATATTATAACATATGCTATATTAACCCCACGAATCATGATATGTTAGTGAATCAATCAGAAAGTCGGCCAAATTTTTCTGTTAACTTAAACCAAATTCTCTGGACAAATTCACTGATGTCTGCTCATGATCAATTAATAAATCGATCAGAGATTTTCTATAAACTTAAGCCATACTCTATTACAATATCAACAATGGAAAGGATGTGTGACTTACCAGTGAAACAATTACATAATTTTATATTACAAATATTCTTGCTTTATACTTAACATATATCAATCATACTTGTGGCAAAGAGAGAGAGAGAGAGAAATGGGGTTTAACGTCCACTCGACACAAACTAGGTCATTTCGGGACTAACATATGGTTTAATTTTATTTACATAATTCGCTTGCGCGTAGGGGTCTTTAGCAGAGGGAGTAAACCGGATTGTGGCAAAGTGAGCAATAAAAGGAAGAATTATATAAAGTGCATCACACAAAAAATCCAAATGCACCCTGCACAACTCAGAACACTTCAAATTCCAGGAGTTTTCCAGGAGTTATATACCAGATTCCAGGAGTCCCCGTATAGAATTCTACACAAATGATGTATTTTTTTACGCTTGGAGAACATTTACGTCCATGTACTCGTGAAAATTTTGGAGAAACATTTGATGACAACGTTCAGTTTTATATCTTAAAATATATAGCGAAACCACAAATGTTAATTTTCCAAGAGTAATCTTGTTTTTCCAGGATTTTTCAGTACTGGAAATCACTTTTTCATTTTTCAATGAGTTTCAAGGAGTGTGAGAACCTTTGAATGTTTCAATCTCTGCCATGTAAATCTCTCATCTTTTGTAAAAAGATGAAACATGCCTTGTACAATAAGAATTTAATTAAGAGACTTTACACAGTAAATTTTTAATCAATGCTAAAATATTGATATTTGTGTGTTATGCCCTGTTTATCGAATAATACCCTCTAATACTGAAAACCAAATCAGGGCCCTAGTGAATGGTTTTTAAAGTGAGATGAAAGAAAACAAGGGTGGATACAGCTAATGATCAAAAAAAAAATAAACAGATCCAATAGAATATATTGTTATCAAAGATTTACAGTGTCTGGAAATGCATTAAAAACGGTGTATAGAGAATCTCTTACGAGTCTTTTTTGATATCAAAAAATATCAACACTCGTCGATATTTTTTGATATCAAAAAAGATGAGGAGATTTTATTTGTCACCTAATCCTTTCTTTGCTATAGACTTCACTTTTACTGAACCTGATTACATTACGGCGTAGTGATACATCATTTTTTGACAGCAATTCAACCATTGCAAAGTCCTTTATATTGACCCAGTTACTTTTAATAAAAAATGAACTGTTCTTTGAAAATACAAAAAAGTAGTTCCTTTTTAACTGACCAATCAAATGCAAGTAAAGCGATATCTCCCCAAGAGATATCGCAGTTGATTATGAAATTTATCACACAAGCGATATCTACTGAAGAATGTATAATTGGGTGATAAATAGAGGTATCAGTTTAACCGAATTCAATATTTGAAAAGCATGTGACTGCTACTTTAATTTGGACCTCTGCTGATTTCACACCCTGTATGAGAATGCTATTACAATACACAACACTGTAACCTGGGTATCATTTAATCTTGTGTATCTCGCATAAATTTCTTTCACATTCGTCTAATATCAAATCTTTGTTTAAAAATTCGTAAAAATGACTTGTTGATCAAAATTAGACAGCAATATTATAAAACAGGGCTATTAAGAGCTAATCTGTGGAGATCATATGGAAATGTTGTAATTCTTAAACTTGGCCACCATGAAGAATTAATTTATGTATGTATTAATATGAAACATCTTACACCAGCTTGAACTATACCTAATGAAGTGTTAATATTTGATTTTAAACCAAAATTTCATTTACCCTTTGTATAGCTTTGTGACAAAACAATTATCAATATTAAAAAAAATCGGACTGCACAGTTATATTTTGATAAATGCTCAATATATAATGAACCAAGTAAAAATCTGTATTTATCCCGTTCTTCGTTTCATTTGTGTTTTGATCAAATCAAAATTAAGCAAAGGTATTAGTTGCAGAAAATGAAAAGAACCAATCAAATCTTGCGTAAAAATGATGAAAAAATTTCATTAAATTGCACCAATGAAAGGGTTAGTATAAACTTGTAAAGTCCTATTGTGTTCCAGTGCCGTCACTGCTGAATCAAGGCTGCGGTTCCACCAGACATTATAGACATAACTTCAATAAATCTCTTTCGTTTTCGGGTGGTTGTGTCAGGACACACTCGGTGGGCCTGGATCAATTAAACTGTTGTTCACTTCAATTTTTAAAGTAAAACCATATTTATAGTGAAGTGGACATTGTGGCGTCTGGTGGAAACTAGCCATTAAGATTTGAAATAGAATTATCATGACATGGAGGGTAAACAGGAATTTATAAATACTGGAATTTTACTATATTAAAGATACATTATGGGAGATTAGATAAAGAGCTGGCAGTTCTAACTATATGTAAAGGGTATTTGCTGAAAATTTCAGTCAAATTGATCCACCCTGAACCAAGATTTAAGCGATCGAATTTTCGGCCTAGCCTCGATCATCATTACTAAAGTTGGAACGATAAAAAACAAATTCTCGATTATCCATTTCATGATTAAATAAGAATGAAAGTGGAGTAGCAAATGGTATCCTAATCCAATAAACATTGCAGGCTAGCGATGACATCGAGAGTTGATTATGGTTTGGATAAGTTAATTATTAATTTAGATAACAATTCAGGCCTAAAGAAAGACCTACAATAGACAGATTTAGCTCTTGCATAATGTATGTTTAATATTACATGATTAAATACATAGACTAGAGTAGAGGGAAATATATAATAAAGCATTTCTATTTGAAAAGAAGAAATGACTTAAAGTCTCTGTACATTATTTGCGTTTTTTTGTAAATACCAAATTTTCCATGGATTGATTCACGTTAAAACATACTCAAATTGATTAAATAACATTAATATTAAAATTTTTAAGAGTAAATAATCTCCCGACTGAGAATTATTTTGAATTAAAAGAGGCCCACCAAAAGATTCCAGGACATCCATAGGAGTTGCTGGTTCTTGTTGACCATATCCTATGTATCATCTGTCGTCTGTAGAGGAAGCCGAACAGAATTGAACCATGTTCGGACTGATATTCCTTTTAACGATTTAAATTTCATAATAATTTAGTCTGCAAGGGATTCACAAACTCTCAAATGAAGAACAGAGACTTTAATTTCCATTCCAAATTTTCATATGTAACCAAGCCCCGAGTTCACAAAGCATTCTCAGACTTAAATTAAGAATTTACTCAACTTTCAATCACTGTTTATGAGAAATATCTTTGATCCAGAAACACAAAAAATTACACATAGTTTCTTATTGATGTATTTGATACATTAAAACAACAAAAGTTTTATAAATGGCTATATTTTAGTTAAAATAAGGCAAACAATTTTGAGTAAATTCTTAACTTAAGTCTGAGAATTCTTTGTGAATTTGGGGCCAAGCGTACATGAATGCTGAAGAATCACCACTGTTAGTATTAAGTTTAATGAAATTTCTAAAAAAAAAAAAAAAAAATGAATGGATGGATGGACGTCAACTAATGAAATGAGTATAAAATGTTTTCAGATCTTTTTAAATGTAAAACAGACCATTTAATAACATGAAATTAATGCACGTTATTGAGCTAATGCAAAAATTCAAAATTAGTACTATCCTGATTCCTTGAAAAAATCAGAGCGCCTGATTCCTTGAAAAAATCAGAGACAACAGATGGGTCGATCATTTGGCGCAGTAATTTCATGCTGTACAGAATAATAATTGTGTATATATGTGATCGTAGTATTCGATGTCTAAGTCGACAAAGTTCTCGTCACGATAGTATAGCTTTACTACTCGTTCGTCTTGACGGTTTACCTCCGTCTAAACTACCTGATCTATGGTGATTTGACTTGGACCACAGTTTCAGTTTATCTTCACACACACTTGATAGAGCCTAAAATAACAAAAACACATTCTTCAATAATACTACAGGGATGAAATTTACCAAAATGTGCATGGCTATCTTTTTGTCTGAAAATATCTTGTACAATAGTTAAATCTCCCCAACACCATATGTTCTAACTGCTCCAGTTCACACAGCAAAGTTGCCATTCGAGACTAGAAATTATCTCCCTTTAGTCTCCAAAATTGAATTATCTCAATCTCAAAAATAGTGACAATCATTTCGGACTACAGTTGGTGCTGACTGAATAAGAAAATATTTTATCCAACCATGACAGATGAAACATATCCCTTGTGTTTAATTACATCACGATTCTACTCCCACTACCTCAGTAATCGGGACTGACTGAACTGACATGTCTGGACTCTGTGTCACTCGATTGCAATTTGTGATGTTATCATACTAACAATCGAGCATTCCCCAGCATTCTAAGAGCTCAAGACAGCCTTTTCTTATTCATTTTATTTCTGATTTCAGAAGATCTTCCTTATTTTAAATACAGAAGGGCAGAAGAGAAAGTATAACCCACAGATATACCTCTTCCAATGCATCTTTTTTAGAACAGAGGTCATTTACAACATGCAGAATTTCATGCCATCAAGGGGCATACTCGAAGCCCTCTAGGTTAGCAAGTCAACGGCTTTCTTACCCAGCCAATGAAGACGGGGGACTACGAGAATGCAGGTGTAAAGTGTGTTATTGATGGACGTCAGACAGCCAGAGTGAGGATCAAACACTCAACTGTTTTGTTACAGATCTAACCTTGGTAAATGCTGCGCTATTTAAAGATACATTATGGGAGATTTTTATAGAGAGTTGGCCATTCTTGCTATAACAGTTCAAAAGTAGATGATGAAAGAAGAATATATTGAAAAATTCAGTCAATTTACTTTATTCTGAACATAGTTATCATCGTTGTAATATTTTCCTAGAAATGGTAGCGAATTGTGTCTTCACCTTCGCTGATCGTTTGATTGACAGGCGTTAACTCCACCTACATATCTCGATTATCAAGTAAAGTTTTCAATGGCATACCGAAATGCTTTACAGCGGCCTCGCTAAGTACACTCTATCATTTAGCCTCGATCTAACTGATGTATTTTCATCAGGTTATCCCTTATTTGATTTAATCAATTAGTGAAATCCTATTAAAATCCGAGCTGTAGCCGAGCCATCCGTGGGTCTACAGAGTTGATTTTGGTCTTGTTGTTTAAATAAAGATCTAATTTATAATTTCTATAACATCTGAAGCCTAAATTAAGACTTGCAATAATCAGATTTAGCTCTTGCATAATGCATGTTTAACAAACCAAACCAGCTTGTTGATGACAGAAATATGCCAGGATTTCTTAATATCCAGTTATCTCCCTTTCGACTTCCAACCTTGAAAGTTGATGGGGGGGGGGGGGCGCGATTCACAGACCAGAACGACCTGAATTGACAAAATTGCAATTGAGTGACGTGGAATTAAGTGCTGTTACAGTTATGTCAGTCCCAACAATGGAGGTGGTGTGAGTAGAATCGTGACATAATTAAGCACAGTGAATATATTTTCGGCTGCATGGTTGGTTGAGATATTTACTTACCCAGTCGACGCATGCATTGTAGCCTGAAATACCCCTTTTCACTCGATTGTCACTATTTTGGGGATTGGGAGAATTCAATTCCGGAAAGAAAATTACATAATTTACAAATGTCAAAAATCATAGATATTTAAATTGTTCACCTCTAATTTCAAAGCTCTTTCTTTGCTTAAAGGTTCCAAAGGAAAGACTAAATCATGAGCATCAGCTAATTCTCGCAGATGGAAGTAATATTTGGCATAAATACTTGACGGTACATTAATATTAAATTGTAAGGCTTCTAAAAACTGTCGTTCTAATTCATTCCTGTAACAAGAAAACAAATTAATTATTTAAAGAAATATTCCCCATTGCTAATAATCTAGGGAGTGTCCTATTTTTAGCTTGGGAGGTCAGTCAGTTGGAGTGGTTGGAAATTTCCACACGCAATGTAGGACACGATAAAAGGCTAACCATAAGGCTTATCCAAACCCAGACATCCTAATAGATGAATTTTCTGTATGGAATATTGACTTTGCCTTTATCTATATTTATATTTGTGACAATTGGTCAGGGTTGGTGGCTACACTAGGGCTGTCCCGAGACTGAAGTTTGGTGTATAAGGGTAGCTCAGATCAGACGATGGTCTACCACTTCCGGTTTCAGAGTTATGCTACTTCTGGTTCATGGCTATACCTGTGCTACACCGAATCAATCGCTAGTAGATTATAATAGTAGCCATATCAGATATATCTGAATAATTGACCAATCTGATTAAAATACAGATCTATATTTCGTTTCGTTTTTTATACTTTCGATGGCCTACACTACATGAAGATCTGACAAGTTATGGCGATAGGTCATGTCAGGGGTCAAAAGACCGACTTTTGACCTATGACGGCAGACATTTGATTCACCAATCAGCATTGATGTTACTAGTGGATTACCCACAGTTCCGGGCAAAAAAGGTCAAACACTCGATTCGACAGACCATTTGATTGGCTGACCCCTCATTTCAAGCAGAACACGAGTTAAATAACAAGTCTTCCGGATCCAAGTGTAGCAAAGACAAGTAAAACGAAATTTTGAACTATAAAAACGAAACGAAATAGGATCTGTGTTTTAATCAGATTGAATAATTAACCAGGTTAATAAAGAGGAAGCATGACTATTGTTTGGGATTTTTTCTGGTTTTAAATATTAGATAAATTATTATTTAAACATTTACTCAAATGACAAGCCCATATATAATCAATTCTCTAGAACATTGGATGGCTTAGATATTAAAGGGATTAGACAATGCCTGCCATATGTACATTAAACGCTTATATGACCAGCTAGAATTACATGACTCACAAAGATTTCGATAAAAGGTCTGACAAACATATTAAACACAGCATTCAATTCTGAGGTATGCTCAGTCTTATTTGGATTAAAAGGGGGGTTGAATGGCCCAATGGTTAGCACGTGCGTGTTGTATCATATGATTTGTCATTGAGTCAACTGGCATGGATTCGATTCCCCGGTTGTACATGACAAGGAGTAGGGTCGCCTGTCCAACCTCGTGGGTTTCTCCGGGTCCTCTTTATCTGTATGGTCCACCATGAAATAAAGAAATGGAATAAATATAGCATATCGAATAAACTGAAAGACACTTACATATCTTCAACTGCAATATCTTTAAGTATTTGACAGAAGTCGACATTCCACACCGCTTGATCATCCCATACTTTTGATGCCAGTAGAATGGCACCAAGAACAATTCTCTTCCAATTAGCAGGCATTATATCAATATCGGCATATGTGAGCAAACGTTCCAGATAGACCTAAAATATAGGCAATAATTTATCTTCTTATCTCCCTCGGGCTAGATCGTATGAATTTGTCAAGTTGTACAGAAATCATACAATCTTCAACAATACAAAGGATATTTAAAAGTTGTTTACATAATAAAACACAGAATAACACGAAAATTCAATAATCCATCTTGTCAGCAGTGAAAGATTCCTTAAGATATATAAAACTCAACTTACAAATGGTTACATATCTAGATATATAAAAATCAACTCACTAAGGTTACATATCTAGATACGTAAAACTCAACTTACTAAGGTTACATATCAAGATATATAAAACTCCACTTACTAAGGTTACAAATCCAGATATATAAAACTCAAATAAGGTTACATCTAGATATATAAAACTCAACTAACTAAGGTTACATACATGTATCTAGATACATTGAACTCAACTGCTAAGGTTACATATATAGATAAATAAAATCAACTGCTAAGGTTACATATATAGATAAATAAAATCAACTTACTAAAGCTACATATCTAGATAAATAAAACTCGATTTACTAAGGTTACATCTAGATATATAAAATCTGACTTACTAAGGTTACATCTAGATATATAAAACCTGACTTACTAAGGTTACATCTAGATATATAAAACTGACTTACTAAGGTTACATCTAGATAAATAAAACTCAACTTAATAAGGTTACATATCTAGATAAATAAACTCAACTTACTAAGGTTACAATTGCACATTCAGAAGTCAGCTGGGCTGCATTAAATAAATTACGAACAAATCTATAAATAGTTTTATGTTCCGGGTCTCGTTTATTGTAGTCATCCTGAACAGGTTCCTTCTGAAATAAAGAAATAGTTAGAAGTTTAATAAATTGTTATAAGGTCATACCAATATGTACTTTTGTTCCTTCTGGAACACGGAGCCACAGTGGCTTAGTGAGTAAGAAGTTAACGCGCTATCTGGAGGTCCTGTATTTGACCATTGGTTTGGCAGAGAATGGTCATCAGGATTTTCTGGCGTGGGTTCTCTTTGTCAGTGGTGCAAGATAGAGGGCCTGGCAATGTATAGTTGTTTGGATGGGATGGGAAATCGAGGTACCATGTACATAATAACATGCACGTAAATGATCTCTTGGCAGTTGGAATTTAATATAAGAGTAGGCCACAGCGCCGCTGTCCAGGCAAAATTTCCGTCATATCACACTGTACGGTGTATGCCTGTCTTCATTAAACAGGTCGCAGCAGAACAGTAGGACGTAAAACCCCATTTCATTTCCTTCCTGAGCACCTATTTAAATTTTGCTGGTTATTCCTTCGGCCGGAGGGGGGGGGGGGGGAATAATTAAAAAACAGAAAGTATTTGTTTTAAACAAAAATCTTACATGGTACCCAAGTGGTAATTTAACGATCAAGATACTGAAGAACTTAAATTTAATTTTGTTTGGCCTATATATGGTTGAGTGGGGGGAATAGGGGTATAAGGAACTAGATGATCACATTGACAAAGGCCTATAATTTATTTATAGTAATAAAACAATTGTGTTGTATTTAATACGTCATCTGCTGAAAGTAAAGCCTCGCTCACAACCCGCAGTACATGTTTTGACATGCACGGCTCGTGGGTTTGGTAGCTAGCAGACCAGTCGCAAGAAACCGGGTGAATAATTTGTATGTGCAGGACTAAAAGTCTCTACGCCTAGTCTGTGATCTTCTACCACTGTAACCCAGGTATCGTTTAATCTTGTGTATGGGTATACTGCCCATAGTAGTGTGTACAGCGAGTTGTGGTCTAGGCTCAAGCCTGCGATCTTCTGCAAGTCACGCAAGTGATGCTTAAGATTCGTGCACGGGTTAATTAAAATTCTACCTGTAGATTGCCCATTGTAGCGCGTACTGCAGCTTGTGAGCTAGGCTTTAGACAATTCATTTCTATTTCAGATGTCACCTCAATACTTACAGATAACGGAAACTTCTTCTCATCAAAAATGATGAGAGTTCGAGGTTCTTGTCCATTCCGGGACTTGTTTCTGTTTTTGATATGAAAATAAATGGCAAGAGCAACAGCTTTGATTGTGTTCTTCAGATTTGGCTGTGAAACTGTTGAATCATCAATGAAAATAGTCGAACAAGAACTAAACTTCCTTAATTGTCCAGTTTCATCAATCTGAAATCATAAAATGTTGTTGTATCAAAAATAATTATTACACTAATGACAAAAATAAAAGAGTCCAAAATAATCAATTTACAAGTTACAGGTTTTGTTCCAGATGTAGAACAGGTTTCGGGGAGTTCTTCATGAATCATTTACCATGTTTGAAATATATTTCCCAACAGATTATTTTTCATGGGTTATTACTAGTACTAATTCAAAAATTTAAAAAGAAATGCAAAAAATGGATGTTTTTTTGGCGAAAATACCATTTCTCCGTCAGGTGTCGTAACGTTGGATAACTTGATGAATAGACTATCGTATGATTCCTTCCTGTCTAGTTCCTGAAAGCTGGTTTAGTACTGCTTGCAGATTTAATTATTATTACTATTATTACTACGAGTAGAGAAGTGCCTATCAGTTTCTCAGCCACAACTAAACTGTTATTTCCAAGCCTGTCTGTGTTTGTGATTATTTCATTTTCATTATAAAGGGTAGGCATATGTCTCTCTTGTCCAAGTCATCAACGTAGATCAATTGCTTTGTTTATTTGTATTGGTGAATACTTACATGCCGGTGTTGACCTTCAGATGTGAAAATGAGCTGACTTCTTCGTTTATTATCTAAAACAAAAAATTGGATTGTTAATCTCCTGCAAACTACAATAATATGATGGACAGAACTAACAGTTATATGGGAAAACAATCACTGGTTTATTATACACAAGCACGATGTTTCATAATTATCCTCTTTATATATATATATTTATATATATATATATATAGACCCTCCAGTTTACTAAATGTCATTGTGCTTGATAACGATAAGAGGATACTTATCGAAACGTTGTGCTTGTGTATAATAAACCAGTGATTGTTTTCCCATATAACTGTGTTACTTCTGACGTTATGTCTACAATCACTAAATGCCACTAATATGGTGAAAGTTGAATCTGTAAAAGGAATATCCGTATTATTAAATTCCATTTGTAGTGTTTATAAAGATACATGTATGATGAAGTGAAAATTGGTCAACATACAGCATTTTATGCCGACGATGAAACAAAATGAAATGGTGTTTAACGTCCTACTGTTCTGCTCCTACTGGGCTAATGAAGACAGGTATACATCATGCAGTGTGCTATGAGAGAAATTTTGCACGGATAGTGGTGCTAAGATCTACTCTTATTTCGAATTCCAATTGTCAGGGGTTCTTTTTCGTTGCATCCAAAGTTATGATAAATTGAAATTTCATCGATCTACATGTATGCTGCTCAAGCATAACAAGACTCTGCCATTTTTTATTTGTAGTGCAGAAACCTGATTGGTCTAGTTTAAGGTGGATCTAGCGCTGGTATTTTGATTTTGTTTTCTTAATTAAATGTTAAATAATCAATCTGAGTACATATTTAGCGTGCATCAAGCCGTACAAAAATTTTATAATTCAGCAAAAATCAAAATAATGAACTGAGCCTTTAAATGTATAAATAATGCTATATGCATAAAACATCTATATCTCGGCAATAAATTACGCGCAAACCATACCTGATATACAAATGTACATGTAACTGCACAAACAAATCATACATGTATGACTGGCCAAGAAGGCAAAACTGCTAATTCCTGTTTATATAATTACAAAGATTTCAAGAAAGTGCTTACTTTTCTGCACTTCAATTTCTGATCGTGTTGCAAACAACGGCTTGGCATAAGGATTATTGGATGGATCACAATCATTTTCTGAAAATAAAATAACAGATATCAATCAGTAATAAAACTTTTAGTGTTAAAGGTGCATTTAATATGTAAGATTTAAACATGTAGATAAAAGGCCAGCCATTTTTGATATAATAGTTGCAAAATAGATAATAAAAATGAATGAAAATTTCAGTTAAATTACTTTATTCTGAGTTAAGTTATGAGCGTTTAGTTAGACAAGATAGTCTTGATTGTCAAGTACACTGTACCATTGCTACAATAATAATCAATTATCGATACATAAAACGTCTGACATAGTCCGAACCATCATTTGTGTGGAGTCTTAAAGGTGGAGGGACTGAAATGTTGCGACACCGATAACAAGGGGCACCCGCTATTTATCTGGGTTATGTGTTCTGGATCTTTGGTGTTGTGAACCAAGATAAGATGGTTGGCGCACTCTATATTTAAGACAAGTTTCTAAAATGCAAATCTATTCGGAAAAGAGGGAATTTTTAAGATGGTTTGGATTTCTTCCTTCAACGACTTCATAAGTTCATGTATGGTAAAGACTATCGAAATTCATTTGATTTCTTTATATCATAGCTATGTATGTCAAAGAGTTTTGATTTTACATTGTATAATATGTACCTTCTGGTTCCCTTTCACTAATGTGTGGTACAGCTGCTACATTTGCTCCACTCTGTGGTACTTGTAACATCTGTGATTCTTCTGTAGCACGAGACGGTTGATACATCTCTTCTCGATTGTACTTCCTTCCACCATCCTTGGAACTGGGGGCGAAGCAACATGCTTGTTTGTTTCCCATGACTGCAGATTACGTTCTCTTCCAAATATAACTCAACTATTAAGAGTTGACACTATGGATGTGGCAGGTTTAACTGGTGATCCAGAACATTGTTGGATTACAGAAGTTTTTACTGGCACTGTCCCTGAATTAACTCCTCAAGACACCTACATGTCTACGTGCACAAACTATTGTCTGACATTGTGCTGTAACAATTAATACCCGTGGACTGACTTATCATTTATCAGATACTGGTACGTTTGAACGCCTCTGTACTTCTCCACAAAATAATGATTATCAAGATCTCAATTTCTACTGTTCAATATTTATTTATTAACTGTAACAGCAGACAAAGACTGAATGTTAAATTTATTAATAACTTCTTTCTTGCCTGTACTTTAGCCTCATAGATAGATTTGCAATCAATTAATATGACAAGATGTCTATTTTAATCACAAAAATATGTAAATAATTTAATTTCATAAATCTGATACATGTATAGAAAATTACTATTTTCTGTTTACTTTCTAATGATCAGTTGAGCATCACTGACATAATGATTCTAGTGTTAACTGGAATGCTAGTGAATCATTGAAGTTGCAGACAGTGATTGACAACTGGAGCACCTGCCCAGCTTGTGTGGGCGTAAACTGTTAAAAAACCTCACAATGAAACACATAACGTACAGTTGTCTTCATTAATGACGTTTAAACGAAACACACAGATCAGATATTGTTCAATGGGTACAAATAAATGTTTATATTGAAATTATTTCAGCTGGACTAACTTCTTTGCCGGCCCATTTTACACCGGAAATTATCATAACATGCTGAAGAAATGGTTTCGATTTATTTTGATTGGATAAAACTAAGCGGAAGTAAACAAACTCCGAAACTGTGGCTTTCCATATATCACTTCCGGTATTATCCGCGCGAAAAGGTGGAATATTGTTTTTGTTAATAAGCAGGAAACTAAACACTACAAATTTCAGGTAAAATTGAAGGCACAGCAATCTCCATGATGCCATGCCATACAAAACTAGTCTGGTATATTGTTTGAGTTTATAATTTGTGGTTTGTATCGGAATATGAAGATAACTCGGCAGCTGGAGTGGAAGCTTGATTGAATTGTCACATTTCATTAATACTACTACACACGTTTGACATTGTGACATTAATTAATACACATATACATGTAATCAATCAACATACATGACCACGCGGCTTATGTACCCTTATTATTACTGTAGCTCATCAAAGAGATTAAGCACGTCAAAATGGCAAAAATCAAGTCTTTATGAATTTAATTTATAATACTAATAGTAACAGGCATTGCCTGAGAGTGAGCAGAGTGAACTTGTGAAGCTGATTATTGTCAAATATAAAACCTTCATAATTAATTTTCTCAAGTGATACAAAAAATGTTAAATAATTTAGTTTTACAAAATTGATTTTTATTTAGATCTAAATTTTAACATTAATTTTGTTTTTAAAAAAAGAACAAAAAAGTGTGAGAATTATTTTCATTGACGTAAAAAATATGTGACGTCAGTGATTAGACGCGTCATAGAAATAGTTCTTTGAGGCGCGTAATCTCGCTTGGGCGAGATTTGGTGTGTAGAATTATTTTTGTTAGTTACGCGATCTCGTTTGGTCGAGATTTGGTAAGTTGACATGCGCATTGCCACTTTTGCCCAGTGTATACGGTTATGGTCTGAATTTTTTTTTAATCAACAGTCTGTGGGTGACATTTTCAAATAGTTCTTTGAGGCGCGTAATCTCGCTTGAGCGAGATTTGGTGTGTAGAATTATTTTTGTTAGTTATGTGATCTCGTTTGGTCGAGATTTGATAAGTTGACATGCGCATTGCCTGTTTTGCCCAGTGTATCCGGTTCCGGTCTGAATTTTTTTTTAATCAACAGTCTGTGGGTGACATTTTCAATTACGCTCCTGTGTTACCGGAAAAGAGCTTTGCTCAAGCACCGCGATTGGCGCGGTGCTTTAGAGCTTCGCTCTATATTAGTATTTTAATTTTAAAAAATGAACCTAGTTATTAGACTTGATGCAAACATTAAAATCTATTGGTCTGAGATGCAAACATTAAAATATATTGGTCCGTGTGGTCGTACAAAAATAATTTGGAACTGGCAACTATTTCCATTTTGGTAAAAAGTTTACAGACCAGTACTGCCCTTTTTTTTTTTTTTTTTTTTTTTTTTGCTAATTGTTTATACATGTCACACCTTGGTTCAGCTTTTAGCACTCGTTGAAATTTTGATACAGTTAGTTTATCTCCATCGTTGCAAACGAAATATCAAATTCAATACTTGGTTCAGAGATCGAATTCATGTTGAATGAAAATATATAACTGGCTTTGATGCATTCTATACAGAATTATTTTTATTTCCAAAGTAATTCTAATTTGTTCTGTTTTTTAAAACTTGCTACGGTCATGTTAATTTTGAAATTGTCTTGAATTCTTTCGTGGAATCGCAGGCTACATGTACATGTACCTCTCTAATCAACTCTATTATTTACTCTAATGCTCTATTTCCTGGCATTTTACACCTGAACAGATGTTATCTATTATTTGTTTGCAGTAAAATTAACACAAAATAAAATTAACACAAAACATAAATCGACTTCATACAGCAATGCATCTTGGTTTATGCTTTTACATACAGTATATCGTCATTAAAACAACCCCAAGAAATTGATTTAGACATGATTTGAAATCAGTAATTTGTTATGAATGCTATGCACAACAAGAGTGGCATTCAAGAATACGTTTTCTATAAAGAGAAAAATACTAAAAACGTCACACGTAAAAGTTCCTATGTGTATGTATTACTATTAATGCTATTAATAATAGTATCTTCAAAATGTTATTTACACATCTAGAACATTAATAAAATTATGAAGTATATCACCAGTGATGCCACAAAAACTCTTGTCCATGCTTTTGTTTCTTCCTGACTTTATAATTAATCCCTATTGAATGTCGACTCACTCTTGAGTGGCATGCTAGCTGTGAAATAGGCAGAGTCTAGAAATGGTTGGAAATACAAGAGTTTGAAACAATTTGTTTATTCCAACCATAGGCCCATTTCACTAAGAAATTAAGATGGAAATAAATTTTAAAAAATTATTTTATAGGTAAATGAGAGAGTAGCAGTACAAGTATGCATGGCGTTAGATTTAAAGGGCAAGTGAAATACAGTGGACTTAACAGTGGGAATAGCAACTGGAAGTTAGGGTCTATTGAAATTATCAAAAAATCAGGGTCTTGGCACTGTAACTTATATTTTGATTGTAATTCAAAAGAAAGACCAGTGCATGCATACAGAGTAAGTGTAACATGAATCATTGAAATTTACTGTTTAAACGGTTAGTGATTGAATTCATTCAATTAATAAACTTGAAAGTGTTCTGTGGAAAACAAGTACTGCATTTTTAATTGGAGCTTTTTTTCTACAATGAGGTGGACATTGTTCTTGAAGTATTGGCTTCTTTTGGTAGTGTTATCTTTGAAATAGGGGGGTTGGATGGCTGAATGGTTAGCGTGCGCGCGCTGTATCATAAAGCCTGTCATTGAGTCAACTGGCATGGTTTCGAATCCCCGGTTGTACGTGGCAAGGAGTAGGGTCGCCTGTCCAACCTCGTGGGTTTTCTCCGGGTCCTCCGGTTTCCTCCCACTGCTAAAGACCCCTACGCGCAAGCGAATTATTGAAATAAAATTGAACCTTGTGTTAGTGCTGAAATGACCTAGTTTTTGTCATTGGACATTAAATTGGAACAGTTTGTAAATCATGTAAATTCCTGTGCTTTGGTCCATTGTACTTGTAAATGCATTTTTAGGAATCCACAAGTTTGTATACCCAGGTTAAGGCCGACATGTCAAATTTAATTTTTCGGTGAAAACTGAATTTCTTGACAATGACAATCTGTGTGGCAAATCACTTTGAATGTATTACGGTATACTGATTTCCATCGCTGATCTCTTGCCTGTCACATTTATTTTAATGTTTCTTTTCTCCATACAAAACTGAACATTGTGGCTACAACAGACCAGTGATTTAATACTTTAAGATATTACAATGATGTGTACATATAACAACTCATATCAAAATAGAGAGAGAGAAATGGGTTTAATGTCCACTCGACAAAAACTATGTCATTTCGGGACTAACATATGGTTTAATTTTTTTCAATAATTCGCTTTTGTGTGTGGGGGTCTTTAGCAGTGGGAGGAAACCGGAGGACCCTGGAAGGCGACCCTACTCCTTGTCACATACAACCGGGGATTCAAAACCAGGCCAGTTGACTCAATGACAGGCCTTATGATACAGGCTTAGGAATAAAAATGAAAATTATTTCTATATTCCCTAGTTTTTATACCTAAAATTTAACCTTGGCTTAGTATATGGTCTTTACATGGTTAAATTTGTTTTAAAATTTCTACTTTTCAGATCTCAGCTAAGAATATTATACATACCATTTATAAAAACAGATTTGTTTTAGAACTGAAACAGATTCATTTTCACTTCAAACCAACCGAAAATACGGCAGTTGGCTGTATAGATAAAATAAAAGCTATAATGAATGAAGTACTTGGGGACAGAGCAGGTTTGTTATAACTGTTATAAACACAACTAGTTTGTGTCGTACTTCGAGATTGGATAATTATTTTGATAAGTTGATCACTCTGGTTGCAGTTTTAAATGGCAGTTTGGTCTAAATTGTGCATACATATACACGTAGATAAGTCAACAATGTAAATGTTGTGCGTGATGATGAGTGTATGAGCTCTTGCCTGAACCTGTGAGATTCCAGGTTCTCTAGCTTGATTCCACCGATAATGGTCTCAGTAAAATATTTCTGAAACCATATTTCTCTTGCAAGTTGCACTTAACATACATTATGAAAGAGCTAAATCTGTCCATTGCAGGTCTTTTTTTAGGCCTGAAATGTTATCTAAATTGTTAATTAGACATTAATTAACTTATCCAGACCACAATCAACTCTCGATGGCATCGCCAGCCTTTGATGTTTATTGGATTAGGTTCTGATTCGCTGTTCGACTTCCATCCATTTAATCATGAAATGGATAATCAAGACTATGTTTTTTATCCTACCGACTTTAGTAATGATGACCGAGGCTAGGCCGTAAATTCAATTGCTAAAATCTCGGTTCATAGTGGATCAATTTGAATGAAAATTCAGCAAATTGCCTTTACATTATCTAGTTATTAACTATTATAGTGAGAACTGCCAACTCTTTATCTACTCTCCCATAATGTATCTTTAACAAATATAATAAACCTACCAAGAATCTTTGAGACCCGGTAGTCTGGCTGTCAAGACACTCAAAAACATAGAACCCATAACTACAGGAAATCAAAGAAGATAAGGCAGAACTGTTTTGCATACCTAACCAAAGAAATAGAAATTGATATATGGTTGTCTCAAATAGTAAGTGCACGAGGACTGCATTGCACACAAACAAAACCCAAAAAGACTGAAATATTGTCTTGATGAGACATTAAACACCATTACATTTCATATTACAGTGATATATTTATTTCAGATGAAAATGGTATATTAAGAACACCAGAGTTGAAGAGAAATTATCATTCTACCCCGAATAAAACTCTACCATATATATTCAACAGTTCTAACAATTTATCAAATGTTGATATGATTAATATGATCGACGATACAGAAAATAATTCGCCTGATGTTCTGGCAAAAAGGTAAATCAAATTTTAAAGACCTATTTGATCAGAAATAATATGCAACTGTTAACCAATTTTGTTCACCCAGTCAGGCGGTTGGGGAGCCGAATGGTTGACGCATGCGCATTGTATCAGAAGGTTTTGATTCCCCGCTTGTATGTGACAAGGAGTAGGTTTGCCTGTCCAACCTGGTGGTTTTTCTCCGGGGTCATCCAGTTTCCTCCCACTACTAAAGAACCATAGACGCAAGCGATTTATTGAAATAAAATTGAAACATGTTAGTCCCGAAATGACTTGGTTTGTGTTGAGTGGACATTAAACCCCATTTCTCTCTCTCTCTCTCTCTTTTACCCAGTCAATGAAGACATTTTGAAGATTCATTTATAAATAAAATCATATTAGCTACCTGTAATCAGGTGGGGTTGGGTTGTCGTTTGAACTAATGCATGTGCTTTAGATCATAAGATCTGTAATTGAGTCATGTGGTGGTTTGAGCTAAAACTTGTATGCGACCAGGAGTAGCGTTGCCTGTCCAACCTCATTGGTTATATGGGGGGGGGGGTTGGATGGCTGAATGGTTAGCGTGTGCACGCTGTATCATAAAGTCTGTTATTGATTCAACTGGCATGGTTTCGAATCTCCAGTTGTACGTGACAAGGAGTAGGGTTGCCTGTCCAACCTCGTGGGTTTTCTCTCCGGGTCCTCCGGTTTCCTCCCACTGCTAAAGACCCCTACGTGCAAGCAAATTATTGAAATAAAAATTTTAAAAAACATATGTTAGTCCCGAAATGACCTAGTTTGTGTCGAGTGGACAATAAACCCCATTTTTCTCTCTCTCTCTCTGTATGCATGCTCCTGTTTCCTTCCACTGCTAAAACCCCTTTGTGCAAGATAATTATTGAAATAAAAGTGAACCTGATGTTCCGAAATGCCATGGTTTATGTCGAGTGAACATTATACCCTATCCCCTTCTGTCATCCATAACCAAATGTATAGTTTTTGTAAATATACTGGTTCAGAAATTGTTCAATATCATTTTTTTTTTCAGTTCCCATGTTTTAAATGGGGAAGATGTTGAGTCTGGTGATGATTTTGAAGAAGCAAAGGAAAACAAATATCGGTAAATTTTAAAGATCTTTTATTTCCAGTTGATACCATTTGATATTTACTCATTCTGACTTTGATTTTGTTTTCCTATACGGTTTCAGATTTTTTGTCTATATATATGTGCGGAGAGGGGGGGGGGTGTGCGAATGGTTAGCGTGTGTATGTTGTGTCATAAGGCCGTGTTGAATTGATTCCTTGTTTCTCCTCGCCCGCGCGCTTAGGTCGAGGACCCCGAAAATCGTGCGCTTACGTTTTTAACACAAAAAAAAATATTCAAAAAATTACGTTAATAACATCTAAATAAAATTCTACCAAACATCAGAAGTCAATTCTCGTTTTTTATTCCTCGTTACGAACTAAATAAGTAAGTGCAGGGGGCCGCACTACACGCAAAACAAAAATCTACAAGATAAACCTGCGGACAAGACAGAAAATAGGCATTGCACCGAATAAACAAATAACATATCAAGTGAATGGATCCGGTTGATAATACACATGTAGGGGCCCGCATACTATGGAATAAGTTACACTGTATATGATTGGATGAATTCCGCAAAATGGCGCGTGTAGCAGTCATTTCGGCTAATGAGAAAGCATATTATAAACTGTAAGACAATCGCTAATATTCAACCGCGAACCTGAATAATCAATTTTTTCATTGGCTAAAATTATAACTCATGTCATTATTATTCAAGTATTACCCAATCATTTCTTGTGTAATAAATAACGCACGCCTTACAAAATGGTGAGCTATGCCGGGACATAGGTAAATTCGCGTACCGGTCGGCCTAATTTATTGATGTTCAAGGAAATAATAGTGGCCCCGTTCGCTCGTTTCTGGAGTTTAACAAACGAACGAACAAACGGGACCACTATTATTTCCTTGAACATCAATAAATAAATTAGGCCGACCGGTACGCAAATTTACTTATCTCGACTCGACTTTGGTGGTTATTCCCAGCACTTTCACGTTCGATGATATTATCGAAACCATCTATAACTCAACAAGCGAATCAAATTATAACTGGAATGTTTCCATTGTATTTTAACACAAGAATACGGAAAATTTATATCAAAATATGGTTATTTCATTTTTTAAAAAGTTAAACAAAGAAGCCACTTGTTACCAAATTTTAGTTTGTTATTAAATTTATTTAATTAAATATTATCTGTGTTTTTATTCTAACCAATAATATAACTAGATTATTTATAATATTATTAAAAATGGTACACAACCCTCAGACTATATAGGTATTATGCCAGACCACTTTGTGTTTTGAAACCCACTTTGTGTTGTGTTTACCGCACTACCGCACATGATTGCCAGAGTGGTGGCAGGAGAAACAAGGAATCAATTCAACACGGCCTAAGGTCTGTCATTGAGTCAACTGGCGTGGTTTCGATTCACCGGTTGTATATGAAAAGGAGTAGGGTAAGCCATACTGTACAGATAAAGCATTCTGCAAGAAGATTATTGTTATGGAAATATAAAAGATTAATATATTTTTTCAGTGGTCCTACTAGTGCCTTCACTCCAGAACAATTCTTAAAACGTGGAACTGAGAAGTCTCGTGAAACATTGAAATCTATAACTGCTGGCGGCTTCTATAGTAGTAGTACTGTTAAACAAAGTACTCCTATGTTAACTTTAAATGGGTAAGTTGCTTAATGTAGTCGAATCAGAACATGAATTGATGGTGTATTATTTTCAGGCGCGCAGTAATAATAATAATAGTGTGTATTTATAATGCGCACATACCATTTGTGTATGCTCATGGTTCAATTGTCAGCTCTTCACATATATTGGAAAAAGTTAATATGATAAAGTAAATAGGTATGTCTTTAATTGTGACTTGAAAGATTCCAAGCAGAACAGAGCACTCAAGATGGTCTGTATTTACCCTTGTGTAGGTATACTATTAGTGTGCTCGATTCTTAATCAGTTACATTTGGAATTAAGTTATTACAATCACCAGAGTTCTGAAAACAGATGTGGTTTGTACAGAATCTTGACTTCATCAAAGGTTTAAGCTAAGTTTATTGATCAAGCTAGTATTTATGCCTTTCTTCTGTACATTGTCTTATTTTCTCAATTGACATCTTTCGGGGGATTGTACAAGTATGTCAATATTCCATCACAGGGCCTCTTTGGGTGTAATCTAACTCATGTATACAGTTTTGCGGTAAACTAACTCATGTATAGTGTTTGGGGGATAAATTAACTCATGTATATTGTTTTGAGGGTAAACTAACTAGATGTATACAGTTTTGGGGTAAACTAACTCATGTATAATGTTTTGAGGTAAACTAACTCATGTATATTGTTTTGGGGGTAAACTAACTCGATGTATACACTTTTGGGGTAAACTAACTCATGTATAGTGTTTTGGGGTAAACTAACTCCTGTATTGTATTGTTTGTGGTAAACTAACTGATGTATAGTGTTTTGGGTGTAAATAACTCCTGTATGGTTGTGTATAGTGTTTTGTGGATAAACTAACTTATATTTAGTGTAGGGTTTACAGGTAAACTGACTTGTGAATGATTTGATACAAACTATAATTTTCAGGTCTTCAAGTAAAAGATCATTAGGTTTTATGCCTGATCCTACTCCTGTGAAGAAGTTGAGATTATCAGATTGTAATTATTCATGGGTAAAAAACAAGAGTACACCAAAAATAGAAATAAATAAAACTAGTTCTTTACATGGGTAAGATTTCTTTTTTTTTCTTTTCAAAAGGTTAACAGATTTAATACATGAATAAAATAACTTATATTATGTAGTTCTTTGTTTAGATATTCCATGTTGACCAAGCAACTAGACACATTTACCTGCAATGCTGACAAGAAAGTTTGTCTAGTCGCTTGGATGAAACAAAAAATCCCCTGATGTTCCGAGATATTAATTGTGTATATAATACTAACCCTTTTGCAATATGTTTTTTTTTTAAATGGGTCTAAGTCAAACGTATTTCGTACAATTTCATTCCATTCTTCTTTCTTTTTCTTTTTTTTAGAAAATTACAGATGATGAAAAGAAACATTTGTATTATTTGATAGATTTTGGGGGTGGGAGTTGTGGGGGTCTGGGGATGAATTGTCCAGTGCTTTAACAATCACAAGAGTGGTTTCGATTCCCTGGGAAGAGCATGACAAGAAGTAGGGTCATCTACCCAGCCTTGTGGTTTTTCTAACTATCCTCTGGTTTCCACCCACTGCTAAAGATCCCTACGAGCAAGCAAATTATTGAAATAAATTTGAACCATGTTAGTCCCGAGTGGACATTAAACCCCCCCCCCCCCTCTCTCTCTCTCTCTCTTAGCTTGTTTACCACACCCATCACTATTTACCATCTAATATTAGTTTATCTAATATTTAATATTTCAGGTTTTCTAATCTAGGTAATACTTGTTATATGAATGCTACGTTACAGTCATTGTTTGGTTTAGATACCTTCTCTACAGATTTAATCTATACTAATAGACATCTCATGCAAAAACTCTCACAAGACTCATTGTATTAGTAAGTAACAATTCATTGTATCAGAAATAAAATGAAATGGGGGGTTTAATGTCCTACTGTTCAGCTCCGACTGGGCTAATGAAGACGGGTATATGCAATACAGTGTGTTATGAGGGAAATTTTCCCCGGCAGCGACACTATGGTCTACTCTTATATCAAGGGATCTTTTGCGGGCACGCCAATGTATACACAGGACCGCTGGGTTTTCGTCACATCTGAAGAAATAGACAATCCTTGCCACTCCCTACGTTTTGCACCACTGACAAGGGGAAACCACGGCGAAAAAATATGGATGAAATTTCTCGGCCAATGCAATGATCAAACACACAAGTCCCAGGATAGCGAGCTAGCATCTTATCGACTTAGCCACTGTGGCTCCCCTATTGTATTGGAGTAATTGGTCCTGTAAAAGGTTACAGATAAACAGGCATTATGCAAGAGCTAAACCTGCCTATTGCAAATCTTTCTATTAGGCTTGAAATGTTATCTAAATAAATAATTAGACATTAATTAACTTATCCAGACCATAATCAACGGATAATCTAGATTTTCTATAGATTTAAATTTGATTTGTGGTTGATTTCACCAGAGGGCACAATTGTTATCCCTTTTTGATTAAACTTGAAATATATGTTTGTAGCCCAAAAATCTTGGTGTCTTTTGATATTCGCACATATCAGACCGTAACTTCCTGGATTATGGCCCTTGATTGTACGAAAAATCGTGTATTTAGCTTACGGTCAGAATTTTTATCCGATAATAAAAACAGTTTAAATGTATCACTGTTTCACCCTAATGACGCACGCTTACACTCCTTTAGATATAATCTTTAGATACTGAATCAGTTTTATAGGAGAGACACAATTTGATTAAAATCAGAAATATTTTTTTTATTACAGTCATTTAGCTAAGTTATTAAAGGCACGACGAAATACCAACTTGGCCGATTCTCAAAGACGCGATTTTTTACGTAACGTCAAGAGAGCTATATCAACGTCTGCTAAGAGATTCTCAGGTTATCAACAACACGTATGTATTTCCACTGATAAAGAATATTGATTTTTGTCCCCCGCCTTTTTGAAGAAAGCAGCTTTGTGTCGAGTGGATGTTAAACCCTAGTGCATAGGGATCATTAGCACTGGGAGGACCTGTAGATTGGACAGTCGAGTCTACTCCTCATCATGTTCAAGCGGATAAATCGAGACAACGCCCCTTGACGCAATGACACATCTTGTGATTTCATGGGTTAAACCCCCCCCTCCCCCCGATAAAAAGGAAATGAAATGAAACAGGGTTTAAAGTCCTACTGTTCTGCTCCGAACTGGGCTAATGAAGATGAGCTTACCGCATACAGTGTGCTATGAGGCAAATTTTGCTGGACAACGGCACTATGGCCTACTCTTATATCGAATTCCAACTGTCAATGGATCTTCAAAGTGCACGCCAATGTGTCCATGGGGCCTTGTTTCTTCGTGCCATCGAAATGACTAGACAGCTGTCCTTGTCAGGCCCTCTGTCCTGCATCACTGATAAGGGAGAACCACGCTGGAAAATCTTGATGAACTTTCTCTGCCAATGCAGGGATCGAACACCCAACCTCCAGGCTAGCTCCCCCCCCCCCCCATAAATTGTCATGATTAGATATTGTTAAACATGTATTACACTTAATGACATAGGAAATACTTAAAAAAGATTATTCCCGTCCATATGTGAATTTTGATTTCTATTCCACAGGATGCTCATGAATTTTTAGGTCAAGTTTTAGATCAATTGAAAGAAGAAGTAATGAAAATAGAGAAATTAAAGAATGTTTCAACACCACCAAAAGAGCTGAACAATAATAACCAATTAACTAATAATGTTGATGACATCATCAACCCAACTGTGCAGAATTTTGAATTTGAAGTTCACCATTCAATCCGATGTTTACAGTAAGTGAATATAAGTTGAAGTAGCAGTATTATGTGTTACTAAATATAGATTAGTAATAGTAAGAAGTTAACATAAATGCCCTTGTGATGTTATGATTTTACAAAAGTTTTACTGTAGGCCTATTGTTGAATTTCTCCTGATCTTTGCATGAATTTTCATAATGAGATCGAACCAATTGTTCAAATATATCCTGTGTATTGGCTCAACATTTTCTTCATTCTGTTTTTAAGTATTTATTGATATGGAAAAGTTTTCTAGTTCTTTGGATGTCATGAAAAATAGGGCTTTCAAAAAATATAGCTATATCGATATATTGCAATACGGTCGTCCGTGATACACTGTATCGATAAATTTTTGCCATATCGATATTTTCCCACTTTTGTTGTTTTATAATCGCCAGACACTTGATTACATAATCAGTCATATTATTTATGATTTGCCTTAAACAATAAGTGTCCAAAGACGAGACCAAAGTTGTAAAAACAATAAAACTATTCAAAATAAAACTGCTTTGTGATAAACTTTATAGAAATATTGCAATACTGCAATATATTGCTATTCTTTTTGTCAAGTATCGCAATATATTGCCATAGGATTTTTGGCTACAATAAACAGGCTGTATGAAATCCTTAAAACTTTATATTCAATAAATTTGTATTAAACTTAAAAATTCTTGAATATTTCAGGTGTGATGAAGAGGTCGAAAAGTTAGAACAGTTTAATGATTTATCATTGGACATGCCTAAAAGATAGTAAGTTTATCACCCGTGCCTAAAAGATAGTAAGTTTATCACCCGTGCCTAAAAGATAGTAAGTTTATCCCACATGCCATATACTCAGACGGCAATATTAAAGATACATAATGAGAGATTCGATAACGAGTTGGCAGTTCTCACTATAATAGTTAAAAACTAGATAATGTAAAGGCAATTTGCTGAAAATTTCATTCAAATTGATCCACTATTAACTGAGCGCTAAGCAATAAACAGCATAGTCTCGATTATCCATTTAATCGTTAAATTATGAAGGAAAGTTATGCAGTATATCAGCTCATAATCTAGTAAAGATTATGGCCTGGATAGGTTAATTAATGTCTAATTAATAATTTAGATAACATATCAGGCCTAAGGAAAGACCTGAAATAGGTAGATTTAGGTCTAGCATAATGTATGTTAAAGCAGCATATTTGGATGAAAGTATATTTAGTATTTTAATATTTTATTTTATAGTAACAGTATGGGTTCAAGGTCAATACAAGATGCGTTGAATGTGTTTTTAGATAAAGAGAAAATAGAATATTTATGTAGTAAATGTGGTCATGATAAATCAGAAGTCACACACAGATTTAAAACTTTACCCAGGTAAATTTTTAAGTATAAAAATCAAAGGGCCATAGTGGCTCAGTGTGAGTGTATGGTACTGGCTTATTGTGAGTACTGGCTCAGTGTGAGTGTATAGTACTGGCTTATTGTGAGTACTGGCGCAGTGTGAGAGTATTGTACTGGCTCAGTGTGAGTATTGTACTGGCTCAGTGTGAGTATTGTACTGGCTCAGTGTGAGTGTATGGTACTAGCTCACTAACCAAGAGTTTCCTGTTTTCCAGCCTGCTTTTCCCCTGCTAGTGGTGCAGAATGCAGGCTTTGTAAGGAAAGGTGTCCAGTCATTAGGATAGGGCAAAAATAGAGGTCCTGTATACATGTATAGTATATTTACCATTGGCAACACCTTAAAGATATCTTGACAGTTGATAATGAGAATGATTTCCAAAATTTCCCTCACATCAACATCTTCATTAGCCCAGTAAGTGCATAAAAACTTGACGTTAAACCCCATGTAGCTCCTCATTTCTAAGGAAAAACATTGAAATTCCGAAGAATAATATCAATTTTCTGTATTTTATATTTCCAGAATTCTAGTTTTACAACTCAAACGGAACCGATACGATTCTGTGGCATCTAAAAATGGTAAAGTTATTCAGGGTATCCGAATTCCTAAATTATTGTCATTAGGATATTTCTGTAATGAAGACACAGTTCCTTGTAAATCAGTACCTAATTTTATCCCAAATATCAGGTATTTAATACTTTTCCCCACACTTTATACTATTGTATGATATTTACTTCATTGGCATTCTATACAGGAAGTAGCTCTACAGAAAATTTGAATGAATCCAGGGCCCTGTTTCACGAAATCTTAACTAAAGATAAAATCCAAATTTTAGTAGATACTTCAATTTTGATTGGCTAAGCACTAAAATCAATCTAATATTATCCAATCAAATTGCTAAAATTTGGATTTTATCTTAGTTAAAATTTCGTGAAACAGGCCCCAGAACCGTGGCATAGGCTCATTTATCAAGTACACAACCCTGATAAATGTTATTGACAATCATAAATGATACTGGATAATCATACAATTCCTATTAACAGCATGTAGTTCCTTGAAATGTGATGTTTGTGAGAAATCATCAAGCCTTGGAAAAAAAATAAAGAATGCATCAGATTTTTGGTACGGATTGTCTGAAAACCAAAATATTTATTTTGTGTGGCCTAAAGAGAAAACTGCACAGAAAAATCTTTTAGTTTAAAAAAAGGTTTTTTAAGAAGAAATGAATTATATTTAAACTCTTGTGTTTATATAGATTTAGAAAGTTATCCCAGACTAATGAGGGCAATTCTAGAATAGACGATGAACTTCCACCTTTACCAGATTTTGATGAAATTTTAAAGGTCAGTGAAAAGTTTAAAAAGGTTTTCAACTAGAAATATACAGAACACAATTCTATTATAAAAACTGGGTGTTCACGTGGCTAAGTGGGTAAGGCGCTAGCTCGCTAGTCTGGAGGTCGGGTGTTCGATCCCTGCATTGGCCGAGAAAGTTCATCCAGATTTTCCGGCGTGGTTTCCCCTTGTCAGTCATGCAGGATGGAGGGCCTGACACTGACAAGGACAGCTGTCTAGTCGTTCAGATGGGACGAAAAACCGAGGTCCCGTGTACACATTGGCGTGCACGTAAAAGATCCCTTAGCAGTTGGAATTCGATATAAGAGTAGGCCGTAGGGCCTCTGCACGGGCAAAATTCCCTCATTGCACACTGTATGGCGTATGCCCGTCTTCATTAGCCCAGGTTAGGAGCAGAACAGTAGGATGTTAAACCCCATTTCATTTCATTTTATATTATAAAAACTAGAGAAACATAAACATAATAAAAAGTAATTGTTTGTATTCCATAGAATTGTGTCCTCAATATTTTTTCAACTAGAAATAAACAATACACAGTTCTATAATAAAGATGAAAGAGATCTAATCGTAACATCGCTCAGTAATAAACAATACACAGTTCTATAATAAAGATGAAATAGATCTAATCGTAACATCGCTCAGTAATAAATAGAAATTGTATTCCATTATGACCTCAGTATTTGCATTTATCCACTAATATTCTTTGAACTTTTAAAAAAAAAAAAGATAAATAGTATTATAATAATCAATGTTGTTCCAAATTTGAAGAATATTTTGTGAAAATCCTCAGTGATTGAGGTGTTTAGGACAGGAAATATTAGTGTGAATTAGGTTCTCAGATTCTTAAAATTTTGTGTACCTTGTGTTTATGCTATTGTTCTGTATTACAGGATAAAACAGAAGATGATGACATAGCTAAAGCTATAGAACTTAGTTTAGCTCAACAAAAACAACCGGTATGTATTGTTTTGTTTCTGTAAACAAGATAGACCAAAGACCTTATGGTTAAAATCTGTCATCTAAAGGCCGGTGTCAACCATTAGGGTAAAATTGATTCATCTGCCCAATTGTATGGAAACTCCTTGGATAGTTGCCTCTCACAAATTATCGAAATAAAACTGTACCATAAGTTTGTACCAAAATGACCTAGGTTATATGCTGAGTGGAGGTTAATAATGAAGCTAAGTCTCTTTGATTTAGTAGTATGCATCTTTTTATTCTTCTATAAAAATAATTTAGAATGAAGAAAATGAAGAAACTGAAGAAGAACAACTTGCAAAAGTTTTAGAACTTAGTCGGAGAGAAGGTCAGAAAGATGCAACAGGTAGAGATTATATATATATCATATTTAGATACAGGTACCAATACACACCATTAGAATAATCAATGGATTAATATTTCAACTAGGAGGTGCTGCTCAGTCAGTAAGTCTTGGCTTACTAACTAGGAGGTCTGAAGTTTGATCTTGATTTTTCTGCTGTCCTCTGGTTTCCTTCCACTGCTAAAGTCGTCTTTATTGGGAGATGCTAATTGTATTCCGGTTTGGGAATTTCCAGAGTCCACAATGATCGCTTTATATAAATGAGTATTTGAGGGAATCCTGACCCTTTTTAAGAGGGGTAAATTGAATCCAAGTTCAGTCTTCTAAAAAGGGTTAGGGTTAATATTCCCCAAAATACCCATTTATATAAAATGGCCTTTGTGGACTCCAGAAACTCCCAAACCTCCCCAACCCGCCTAGAATCGGCATCTCCCGTATTTATTAGCCCTGTCAGTGCAGAAAAATTGGATGTTAAACCCCATTTCATTTCCCACTGCTATCGACCCCTACACGCAAGCTATTTATTGAAATAAAATTATACTGTGTTAATGTCGAAATGAAATGTTTTGTGTCGAGTAGATGTTAAACCGCATTAGCTAATACTTTTTTGTTTTCCAGAATTAAACAGTTTTTGTTCTGATCCTGAGTTAGAAAAATTAACCGAAGATGAGCGAATAGAGTTGGCTATACAACAAAGTTTAATGTTAGTTGAAGAAGAGGAAAATAAACATAATACATCCACAGATGATCTACACTCTAATAATAATAGTTTTAATGGGGAAGGTATGCAAATAATGTAATGAATATTCAAATTCATATACAGTGCACTCTGTCATATCCGACATCGTACAGGATCGTTATAATATGTCGGATTACGCAGAGTGTCAGAATACCCAGTTTTCTCAAAACCGGAAATATTCTAACTTCGTAAACCGGAAGTATTATTATAATGCAGCTTCGAACATAGAACTCGAATCACCAGAATGTTATTCTCCTTAAAAATGATAAACCTTTCTGTACATTCAAAATTTTATTACATTAATTTTTATTTCATTTAACATGCGTAGGAATTTTGAATAGGTCAAGTCTGTTCGTTAATTTATCTTCTTCACCGTCTTCAGTTGATCGCACTCATGTCTTTGCTATCACGTGTTCATTGAAAATGGGCGTACTCGATTGAACGTTCCGGAATTGAATTCTCTCAATCCCAAAAATAATGACAATCTAGTTCAAATCGGTACTTCGGGCCACAATGCATGCGTCGACTGGATACATTAATATCTCATCCAACCATGCAACCGAAACCTGTTCGTCGTGTTTAATTACGTCACAATTCTACTCACGCCACCTCCGTTGTCGGGACTGACAGAACTGTGACAGGACTTAATTGCCCGTCACTCGATTGCAATTCTGTCAATTCGGGATGTTCTGGACTGTGACTCGAGCATCCCCAGGTCGTCGTCACACGGTTTGAAGAGATCCGTAGGGTGACAAAACTTATAGGTTATTCAGGTTCAATCGGCATGCGCAACGAATGTTTCCAACATGTGCTAGGAATATTTTTACGACTGTGAATTTGGGGGAAAATTCGTGGATATTCTTGAGTATTTGTCACAACTGTCGTACAAGAGATTAAAATTATCAAAGTAATCAACAAAGACCCATGGTAGCGAGTTTTAATCTCGCAGATAATTGATTGGTGATTGCTTGTTAATCTTTTGTGGCTTCACACCCATCCAGTTTTAATCTCACGGATAATTGATCGGTAAGTGTTTGCTTCACACCCACTAATTGAAGGCCGGATTATACGGTGTCGATTCAATGGAAATCGTATGACGGGACGGCTGATTGATGTCGTAATCCGGAACGTACAGAGATTTTTGGGCTGAAGTAATAAGCAAATAAATCGGGACATGAAAATGGTGTCGGATGTAACAGAGTGCCGGGGTGATCAGAGGTCGGATGTGACAGAGTGCACTGTAATTATAATGATCAAGGCATACAAATAACATGTTGAATATTCAAATTTATATACTTTTAGTTGGGGACGTTATGCAATTATCATGTTGATTATGCAAATTCATATATTTTTAATGGTGAAGGTATGCGAATAATGTGATGATTATTGGCCCTCTTCTTTCGACTATGAATATTTTGTGTTTTGACTAAGTGTAGATAAACAGTATGATTGCTCGCTCGATGCTTTATAAAAAGACAAATGTTCAGTTAAAGATACATTATGGGAGATTCGATAACGAGTTGGCAGTTCTCACTATAATAGTTAAAAACTAGATAACGTAAAGGCAATTTGCTGAAAATTTGATTCAAATTGATCCACTATGAACCGAGAACAAAGCGATTGAATTTCCACCTAGCCTTGATCATCATTACTAAAGTCAGTACGATAAACAGCATAGTCTCGATTATCCATTTAATCGTTGAATCGTGAAGGAAAGTTATGCAGTAAATCAACTCACAATCCTCTAAAGATCGCAGGCTAGCGATGCCATCTAGAGTTGATTATGGTCTGGATATGTTAATTAATGTCTATCTAATTAATAATTTAGATAACATTTCAGGCCTAAAGAAAGACCTGCAATAGACAGATTTAGCTTTTGCATAAAATGTATGTTTAATTTATATGTGTCATCTATTTTGGGGGGATTTCGACAGGGGACATCAGCCTGACTGTTGATTAGTTCAAATTGATAATTGGCGGTTCATCGTCTTTTTCTTTGACAGTGTAGTGAATATCACCCATAATGTAACCAGTTGTTGTGGTTTTTCAATGGAATTATATTATTTGTACCCATATATTTATGTTTATATATTTTAGTAGATTTACGCTGTTTCGAGGACAAGGAGAATTTATTTGATGATTTAGAGATTTGTCCGACAGCAGAACAAGAAAATGAACGAGAAAGAGAGTACAGATTTAAAAAGTTTGATACCGATGTAAGTTGACAGAAATATGTATAATGTTAGGAAGAATAGGAATGAATATTAATGCCTCATCAACAATACTTCACTAATTTTGTGACTAATATACTGTTACTTTTTTGTCTGGTCATGTGTGCAATGCCCGCGTTTCTGCTTATTCTTCATTGAAATGTGGTCGTTTATTGGCTTAGTAAGACAATGACTCGCTGACCTGGAGGTCCTGTATTGGCCTAGCAAATTTCCAGCATGGTTTCCTTTTGTTAAATGTGTAGGACGGGGGATGATTGGGCAGTATCTAGTTATTTGGATGGTACAAAAAAGAAAGGCCCTGTTTACATGAAGGCGTGCAAGTTAAACAACCATTGCCAGTTGAAATTTGAAATAGGAGCAGGCCGTAGCACTGCTACCTGTGCAAAATGTCCCTCTTATCACACTCTTGGTGATTTCATGTGTTGATTTGTTTTCTGTGATGACAATATGGTTTCATTTAAAATTTTACATCGCTGGTGTTATATTTGGATCCTTGGATCCTGTTGTGTTACCAATCACATGTGGGTGAAAAGGAAAACCAACCATTCTCCATGTTAGAATTCCAGTCTTTCTTTATTACCCAAAAAATGCAGAAAAACTACAACATAAGGGAGACAACTTGTGGCTACTTAAACATAAGGATTCAGACCACAATGAAAAACAACATACTACACTATGACACTAGATAAAGCTAGTGTCGAGATATAATTTATTGTCACAACTCAAATCAAAATAACACATCAGATCACTCTGATTGGATACTTCATCTTTACCTATATTATTACAAATCAGGCAATTGTACTAGTGCCGTAGCTTGTTTTCTGTCCACCTCTTGCAAAATGTGGGCGTATCTTGCTTGGCAACTGCTGGTTCAGTTAAAAGACGAGATTAAATCATTGATAAAGGCTGTTCATTTATAAATATATTGGATGGCCGAATGGTTAGCATGTACACGCTGTATCATAAGGTCTGTCATTGAGTCAACTGGCATGGTTTCGATTCCCTTGTTTTTTTTTAACTATCTGCTGCTATAAATTGGATTAGGTTGATTTTTGAAAAAAAAATTTTTGTTGGTTTATTTTGGAAAATATTTTATAGGCTGAAAGTTGAAAATTATATAGTTATGTTTAGGGCATTGAGAAGAGGTTATCAGAAAGTGGAACTTTCCAAGCTGTAGCCTTCAATGTTTTTACAATGAAAGACCACTAATTTCTTTTCTCAATTTGATCTAAAGTCTGATATTAATTTCAGAGAGATTTTCCCTTTAGTTCCTATCGTTTAGTCAGCATAGTCAACCATATTGGTAGTTCCTCCAGTACAGGTAATATATCTATTTTAAATTTACAAACTTTAATATTTCACACTAATAATTATGCAATCTGATTAAAATCCAGATCTATATTTCGTTTCGTTTTTTTATACTTTCGATGGCCTACACTACATGAAGATCTGACCGGTTGTCGTGATAGGTCATGTCAGAGGTCATACAAGCGGCTTTTGACCTATGACGTCAGACATTTGATTAACCAATCAGCATTGTTGTTACAAGTGGATTACCCACAGTTCCGTGCAGCACACGCCTAAAGCTCGCTGTAACAGACGGTTTCATTGGCTAATCCCTCACACCATTCAGAACATGTCAATGATAACAACTCTTCCAGATCCTAGTGTAGTAAAGACAAGTAAAACAAAATTTTGAACTATTAAAAAACGAAACGAAATAGGATCTGTGTTTTAATCAGATTAATAATTATGTTGATCATTGTATTAATATGACCTTAACCCTTTAGTGCAATTAAATCTTGACTATCCCCGTTTTTTGATGAAAATTCGAGAAAAGTGATTATTTTATTACGATACATTCCTGGGCAGAAACAGCTCTTCCTTAGTCTACCTCTAACCGCCACAGATATGTGAATAGCTTTCATATTATATGATGATCTAGACATGACTGGGCAGGATATGTCCTAAAGGGTTAAATAACACCATTTTCCCTTCAATAATAATGAGGTCGTTGGTAAATTTCAATATAGTTTTATGATGGTAAATTTCAATATTTATTATGAGGTGGCTAGTAAATTTCAAAAGTTATGATGATGTGGATGATAAATTTCAATATTTTATAACTTATGGAATAGTTAGATTTCAAAACTTAGGTTGTTTAGAGTTCTCGTCTTATATAATATTGTGTAACTTAATGGAACAGTCTCATTTCAAAACTAACACTATTTTGAGTTTTTGTTGTATGTAATATATTCATAAACAATAGATAGTATTGTTGAACTAACTTCAGATGAATGGTTAAATATTTTAGGTCATTATATAAGTGATGTATTTGATTTAAAGAAACAGTCATGGAGTAGTTTTGATGATGCTAGAGTGACTCCTATGTCAGAAACGGAGGTTTGCAATCGAAGAGAAAAATCAGGATATATATTTTTCTATATGAATAAGTAAGTTGAAATCTTTTTATACGTCTATATTTAATCTCATTTTTTTTTTTTTTAAAAAGGGCATGTTTCGTGGTTGGCAATCTTATTAAAATACAGATCTATATTTCATTTTTTTTATACTTTCGATAGCCTACATGGAGATCTGACAAGTTATACTGAGAGGTCGTGTCAGGTGTCATACAAGGGCTATTGACCCTATGACGTCAGACATTGATTTTTCAATCAGCATTGATGTTTCTAGGGTTTTGCAGAGTGATGTGGTTTAACGTCCCCTCAACACAAACTAGGTCATTTTGGGACTAACATATTGTTCAATTTTATTTCAATAATTCGCTTGCGTTAGGGGTCTTTAGCCGTGGGAGGAACTGGAGGACCTGGAGAAAACCCACGAGGTTGTACAGGTGACCCTACTCCTTGTCACCCTTGTCACGTACAACCGGAGAATCGAAATCACGTCAGTTGAATCAGTGACAGACCATTCAGACATCCTCCCCCCCCCCTTTGGAATGGAACAAGAATGCTAATTCATATTTGTTATTTTGGGTTTTTTAGAACTATTTTCGAAGAGATGACAGGAATGTATTCTACAGCATCTATAACAGACACAAGTTGATACACACAGAACTAAACACAGAGATATTTCATTTTCTACAGAGGAAAAAAAAAACCCTGCCTCTTAAAAAAAAAAAAGGAATTGATAAAAAAAAAAGAGTTTGTGCTTGCTAATTTGATTGCTTGAAGTGATTTCATAAGTATGGTGGAAAATTAATCAAATTGAAATTCACCATTGCTCTCACTAACTTTTTGGACTCTGGTCAGATACAAAGCATATGTGTATTCGATAAGGAATTCAGTGTGATCATATCATTGTTCTGGAGAGCTTTAACTCAGAATGATGATACCACTTCTCATTATAAGTATTTAATTTTTTTTTTTATGCTTTGATAAAGTGCCCACATACCTATTACTTACACATTAAAACAAAACTAACTAAATGTTGGCATCAGCTCAAATCGTACCTCACATCTTGTATGTATTAAAATAATCAATGAAAGCACGGAAAAAAGACAAGTCTGTGTGAGACAAAATGTTAAGTGCTAAAAGAATTGTGTCTGACAAGGCCTGAATTTTTGCCGGACATTGTCAAGTGAAAGGTGCCTTATTTCCATGCTTGCTATCCAACTAGATTGAATTAGTTAGCGAGGATGTGGTGTTTTCAAATGATTTTACTTACTTTACGGGAATATATTTATAGAATATTTTTTATGGTTGAGTAGTATTAAACTCAAATAATTGTATTTATGTCAATATTATTATACCATGGTTGAATCACCTATGTGTCATATTAATTATGCTTCTTAATTTAATAAGAACTATATGATGTCTTCTCCATCATCTTTGTATTGTACGGTCACATACGAAAATCAGTGCTAAGTTATCCAAGATCAAAAAAACAAGCCTGTCAAGTTTCTTGTCGTTCGTGCTTGGACTAATGGAGTCTTGGGCATCACTCGAAGTGCATCTCCCCCCCCCCCCCCCCAGCCCCCAAAGAAGAACAAGGTTCTGGACCACCAGTTCATGGTCCGAAATTCTAACAATTTAAGTCTTGCTTCATACAATCGTTATCTCTTGATAACTTGATAAAAACCAGGTATCAATATGTCTTGTCAGTCTGTAGATTCAATAGTGTTAACAATTACATAATGCCTGTATAGTTTGTCTTGTCTGCAGGGTTGTCTTGTTGGTTTTGTTTGTAGTGGAGTTCTCCTGCACTTACTGTACAGATTATCACCCTTATTGTTGTCAAGAAATTTTGATATTATCTCCAACTCATGCCGTCAACTGGCAGACCATTGCTATTCAGGAGATAAACCACTGTCAAAACGGTTGCATTATTTCTTTTTTAAATCTTTCATCCAATTTTTTTTCAATTTGTGTCAAGCCTATATTGTTACAGGCCTGGAACTGTACAGTGCAGTAGACATATACGGCTGGCCCCCAGATCCATTAACTTGATTTGATATTTGTTGTTTATTTCTTGCAATGTCATGTGGTTTTTCTTGTCTGCAGGTTTATCGTGTCAGTTTTGTTTTGTGTGTAGTGCAGTTCTCCTATGGCACCAGTAGAACAAGAAATCACTTATTAATATTGAGATTTATCTTATAGAAAATAACGAAATGACTCCATAATATATCATATCTGATATTGATATAAAATTGTAAGATCATCTAAAACCTGAAGGATAACCTTAAAATGTCATTTATTATTTCTTCCGTTTACATGTATTATCCCTTTCAAGTATTTAACTTTTACATCACTGAAAATTTAAAATTTGTCCAAAGTTCAATTGTGTAACAAGTGTGATAATTTGTAAATTATTTCAATGACATTTAGTTATTGAACTGGAAATACACATGTCACAATTCTATGGGATGCTATTACTGTTTATAATTGGGCAATGTCTAGGATCCGTAGCTCTTAAAGAATTCTAGTCACACCGTTGCTCATTAAAAATAGTGTTCCATAGAATTCTATAATGCTTTGTAATTGTAGTCTTGACATTTGAAGATCACTATTTATCCATCATACAGTTTGAAACATGTATTTTGTAACTTAGTCAGAAATTATCAGTGTAATTTGTGTGAACATGACTTGACTATCGCTGAACACTATATTATATAATAATCTGCTATGGACTATACTCTTTAGAACAATGCATAAAGGTTTTACCTTTTCACAGATCACACCAGCTTTATTGATGTTATACTCAAGGTCTGCACCATTTTGAAAGGATTTGGGCAGAATTGGGTCAATAGAGGTTGATGACAACTTCAAGAAATAGGATCAGTAAGCCTTCCCCCATTAATATTAACAGACCACAACAAATAAATTATTGTTGATGATTTGTTATGTAGCATATCACTACACTAAATTGGCAATTATAGCAAGACTCCAATCTGTTTCAAATACAGATCTATAGTTCGTTTTTTTTTATACTTTCGATGGCCTACACGACATGAAGATCTGACCAGTTGTAGCGATAGGTTGCGTCAGAGGTCATACAAGTAGCTTTTGACCCTATGACATCAAACATTTGATTAACCAATCAGCATTGATGTTACTAGTAGATTACCAAGAGTTCCGTGTAAAACATGCCTAAAGCTCGCCGTAACAGACCATTTCATTGGCTAATTCCTCCCACCATTCAGAACAGTCAATGAAAACAACTCTTCCATATCCTAGTGTAGTAAAGACAAGTAAAACAAAATTTTGAACTGTAAAAAACAAAACAAAATAGGATCTGTGATTTAAACAGATTGAGCAAGACTCCTAGTATGAATGATGGGACGATAGGTCTTGTATATTGTTAACTGAAAATTTATGTTCATATTAAAATATCTAGTCTTCGAAAAAAAAAAAATATATAGAAATAGGATTTTTAATTTTTTTTGTTATTTAAATACATTAATATATATTATAAAGTCGGGATTGAAAGTAGTGTGAGAGACAATCAACTTATGTGAAAAGCCATTTTGAACTTTCCCTCTGTCAGCTGCTACCATAATATACCAACTAAGTGGGTGTACTGCGGGGAAGGCCAAGATGATATTAGGATTACATTAATAAATAATGTATTTGTTGATTAAAATAAATAAAACTTTGAAAATATATTTCTGTCTTTATTTATACTGTGATTAAATTATGATCAGTGATACAAAAGGTTTATCTAGCCTGTTCTTTCATGTCTTTTTTCTGGCTTAAAATGTTACATGAATTATTATTTAGACATTTATTCCCACAACAAATCCATAATCAGCTCTCTAGACCATTGGTTGGCCGAGATATTGAGAGGACTATAAGTCATCTGCCATATCTTTGTTAAGATGTAGTATCGACACTTTGTTTATAATCGTAGCAGTGGTAAAGTAATTTGAGTGAAATTTTCAATCTATTCATTATCTATTTTAAAACCTTATAGGCAGAACAACCAGCTCTTTATATTAGCAGATGAGAAAATCATATGCCTAGTTTTCCAGATTGATTTGTAACAGGTAGTTAGCTATATGCACATGAAAACATGCATTCTGCATCCAATGTACTGTGAAGGAAAATCAATCTGGACAGTGGAGCCTACTCTTATTTCCCAAATGGAAATAAAATGAAATAGGGTTTAACGTCCTACTGTTCTGCTCCGAAACTGGGCTAATGAAGACGAGCATACGCCATACAACACTGTGCTATGAGGGAAATTTTGCCTGGACAGCGGCACTATGGCCTACTCTTATATCGAATTCCAACTGTTGGGATCTTTTATGTTTTCCAAATGGAATAATTTATAGAGATATAGCCTATGTAAATAGCTTTGTACATAGGAATAAAACCATGTGATGCGTTGGTTTTAGGCCAAAGCTATTTAATTTTTAAGTAGGTTCTTGATAAATTAAAAGCCACTTTGGATTCATAAAAATTGTTTATTTAGAATCTCAAAAACTTGTAAATGTGGATCTAAAAGCTTCTGAGAAAATCAACCAAGTATTTGGGGTTTTTAAATTATTTTTCTCTCCCCCCCCCCCCAAGAGACACACAATAGCTGTTTCTCCGAAAAACAAAATTAAAGTGTTGATTTAGTAGCTGGTATGAAAGGTCTGATCCTACAGGCTTCTGACAATTGTGAAGGTGATAATTGTAGACCCCTTCTTGAAAATATTTCTGGTACACTGATTGTATAAATAAGTTTAGATGTAGGGCCAGGGGTTTCTCTAATTGCCACAATTCTTTAATCAGGATAGTGTTAGCCTATAGAACAGGCTAATTATTTACCTGCCCGACAATTGCGATAATTGTAGACTCACTCTTCAAACCATTACACAGTTTCACGTACTGAAAGAGAAATGTTAAACGGGGAACTTAAAGCTTTATTATTGATGGGTTTAGTGTAAAATGGTTTAGTTATGGCTAATGTCACTAATGAGGATCACTCACCCCCAAGGCGTCCACTAAAAATATCATACTGTGAGGCCCTTTGTTTTCTTGAATTAGTCAACCCAAACGATGATTGAAGTAATAATTTTAAAAAAAAAAACCCAAACAAACAAATTGCTGAGCAAAACTGCGCCTATTAGCTGATGAATCAAACTGTTTTCGCTAAAACTGACTAATAGGCTACTTATTTACATGTCTAAAGGCCACCACCCAGAATTAATCCCCACATTAACCGATTATCTTATGATTTATTTTCTCACATTGGTTGGTCAGTGGACTTTGACTCTTATAATATGTCACACCGACGTGAATGTGTCTGTTTAAGCTATCACGCTAGCCATGTTATTGGCTTTCGTTATCGTATGACATGGTCCGACCCATGCCTCTACATTATGTTCTATAAATAACACGATGGCACCACCGTTACATTATTGAAAGACGCACTCTGATTGGTTCGGCGTCACGTGCACATGCGACTAGATCACTTCCTCTCGTGTGCTCTCAATGAAAATAAAACTAGCAGACAACAATTTTTCAAGTTAAAATCGTTTCTGTTGTGGCAGTTTACAGGCTGTAACCAATACCTTGAAGTCGTCATCATTAATATGCCTGGGCCAGAGAAAACCGAAATGTCTGGATGGCCAGAGGATGTTGGAATTATTGCCCTAGAGATATATTTTCCATCTCAATATGTCGATCAAACGGAATTAGAAAATTTTGATGGAGTTTCGTCAGGAAAGTATACGATCGGTTTAGGCCAAGATAAAATGGGATTTTGTTCGGATCGGGAAGACATCAATACATTGTGTTTAACAACCGTTCAAAAACTCATGGAAAGAAATAATATTTCGTACAATGAAATAGGGAGACTTGAAGTTGGCACAGAAACAATTATTGATAAATCTAAAAGTGTCAAAACGGTTCTCATGCAATTGTTTGAAGACAGTGATACAAACATTGAGGGCATTGATACTACAAATGCTTGTTATGGTGGAACTGCTGCACTCTTTAATGCTGCCAATTGGGTTGAATCAAGCTCATGGGACGGACGTTACGCTTTGGTTGTAGCAGCTGATATTGCAGTATATGCTACTGGTAATGCTAGATGTACCGGAGGGGCTGGAGCCGTAGCAATGTTGGTTGGACCGAATGCACCATTAGTTTTGGACAGAGGTGTACGAGGAACACACATGCAGCATGTTTACGATTTCTACAAACCTGAAATGGCATCCGAATACCCAACTGTTGATGGTAAATTGTCTATCCAGTGCTATCTCAACGCTTTAGATAAATGTTATGATGTGTATTCCAGAAAAGCGATAGCATCGGGTATTAAAGAAGGTCCAAATATTCTGGACAATGCAGCTGCATTTTTATTCCACTCTCCGTACTGTAAACTCGTTCAGAAATCCTTCGCTAGGTTGTTGGTAAATGACTTTATTAGTGATTCAAATCCAGATTTTCAAGGACTCTATTCTGGCTTGGAGCAGTTCAAAGATATCAAATTAGAGAATACCTATTTTGATAAACAGGTTGAGAGCAGTTTTGTGAAAGCCAGCCAAAAAATGTTCGAGCTAAAAACCAAACCATCTCTGCTAGTGTCAAACCAAGTTGGTAACATGTACACACCATCTTTGTATGGAGGTCTGGCATCACTTATAGCCAGCACAACAGCCAATGAGTTGAAGGGGAAGAGAGTCATTCTGTTTTCTTACGGGTCAGGGCTTGCTGCTACCATGTTTTCTGTCAAAGTATCTGAAAATGTGACACCAGATTCTGCTCTTCTAAGACTTTTTGACAGTTTGAGCGATCTTAAATGCCGACTCGACGGTCGGACAAAAGTAGACCCTAGTATTTTCGATGGCATCATGAAGTTAAGGGAACAAACACACCATTTAGCTCCATACCGACCAGTAGGTTCCATTCAAGATCTGTTCCCAGGAACCTGGTACCTCACAGAAGTCGATAGCATGCACAGACGTAAATATGACAGAGTACCAAGTGCTCAAAGACTCACAAAAACATCAGTTGAACAGTCTGAAGTAAACAATGTCAGTGTTGTGGCCCATTGACCATAAGGTTATTGAACCCAAAACAACCAAAATTTAAAAAACCAAAAGACATTTATTTTATGTTGTTGCCGTTAGTGATTTTATTTTCATAAAAAGTTCATTCATTGTGTTGCAGATACTCAGATAGAGTGGGAGTAGGTCTTTTAAAAGACCTCTACGAGTGTGACAGAATAAATGCTCTCTAAACCTAAAGAATAGACGATGAGGCCACACTATTTTAATTTTCTGTTCTTTAGGAACACAAATTAAAAATTTTGCCACTAATTTAAAAACAAAAATACTTAGTTACTTTACACTTCTAGTTCTAAATATTTAAGTTTTGATATTTTAATAAAACAACGCTCACAAGAATTGAGTGAGTTATTTATTGCTCAAAAAACTGAAAATTAAACTGGTTTGGCCTAATCAGTGATTAATAGATTTATTATAGACATTTAAGAGTTTCAACATTTTTAAACATTTTAACATTTTTATAACAAAACTCGAAAAACACCACAAGCACTAAATACTCTTTTTTTCTTCACCCAGTTAGAATTTTATGAGCTAGGGCAGGAGGAGTATATTGAAAAAATTGTAAATTATTTTTTTTTATGTTGTATTAATAGTTATTGTATGAAATATAATGTTTTCAGTTTATTTTATTTGTTAATATTATACCCCATTTCTCTTGTATTAAAGATACATTATGGGAGATAAGATAACGAGATGGCAGTTCTCGCTATAATAGTTAAAAACTAGATAGTGTAAAGGTAATTTGCTGAAAATTTCAGTCAAATTGATCCACTATGAGCCGAGAAAGAAGCGGGTGAAATTTTGGCATAGCTCGGTCATCATTACTAAAATCATTAATATAAACAGCTTAGTCTCTATTATCCACTTTTGTTGATTTAATTATCAACGGCCGTTAGCGGCATATAGGAATCTAATCCAGCCAACATCAAAGGCTAGCCTTGACATCAAGAGTTTATTATGGTCTGGATAAGTTAATTAATGTCTAATTGATAATTTAGATAACATTTCAGGCCTAAAGAAAGACTTGTAATAAGCAGATTTTGCTCTTGCATAATGTATGTTTAATAGGCCGACGACAATTAAATTCTTTCTCTCACCCCTATTCTTCCCTTTAGCATGGCCATTTGGTGTTGATTTTTTGGTCTAGAATCAAAGAATTAACATTTTCTGCCAGGTTTGGGTAAATGTATTCATGGTTAAGGTTTAGAGGGGGGAAGGCAACTTTTAGGTCCTTTTTAAAGTTTTTGTGTCTGAAAATTTCATTGGTTAACCAGATACAAATTTTGGAGCAAAGATGTGGCCCTCTGTTGCTCTGTCTGTTGCCAAAAGCATTCAGCCCAACAAAAAATTAAGAAAAAGTTGAAGCCAAGCAAGGAGACCAGAATTAACACATTTATTTAAAGTCAATGGAGAAAATATGGTGGTCTGCATCCATTAGTGACCTATCGTGTCCCTGGTTATTTCCCTTGTATTAGTGATCCATCATGTCGAGTTGACAATTCAGTTCCCAAGAATTTTATTATTTTAGAAAATGCTAAGCAGGAGTTGGAGTAAAATGCCATTTAAAGGGGCATTGACAATTTTGGGATAACAAAAAAACTAATTCGTGATTTTAGTAGTGATGTAGAACGGTGAGCTAGGCAAAGAAAAACATCTAGTCGTTCAGATAGGACGAAAAGCCATGTCCCTGTGGCATACATTCAAAAGTACGCTTAGGAAGTTAATCCGTGTGTTGCATGTAGTGAAATAGCAGTCCGTTCCAAATATTTGAACCTCGCTTTGCTCGACTTTGTATTACCACACCAATAACTCCATATAAGGCCTTTTGCCATTGGTCCTACCGGGGTTTTCTCTGGGTCCCCCGGTTTCTCTCACTGCAAAAGACCGCTACGCGCAAGCGAATTATTGAAATAAAATTGAATCTACGCCATATATTGTCACCAAAAACGACTGTATAAAATGATCAATGTTTACATATTTCTAATATGGCTGAAGTTTGGGACGGGAACACCAGGGCTCTCCATTTAGTAAATGTATACTCTTCAAAAAAAGTAGGGAATATTCAGGAACAATACAAGACTGCGGAAATGCACTGTTGTTTTTATTAGAGGTAACCAGTGTATGTTAATAGCAGGCCAATTGCCTACACATGAACGTAAACAGTTCATATGAGTGGCTTATCTGACGGTCCCATTTCACTCGCAAAGAGATACACTGTCAAAAGTGAAAATGGACGTTTTTAAATTCTGTCTTAATAATAATGAGTAATTGCTCCACCAATCCTCAGGCATTCAGCAATTCGTCGTGGCATGCTCCTAATCAGCCGCCCAATCACGATTTGGGGTGATCTGACCCACTCCTCTCAGTGTTTTCGATTGACGTTGACATCGACGAACACGTTTCCCGATCAAATAAAACGTAACACACTAAAGCAAAGATACGCTAAACAGTAAATCTTATGCAAGAACCTATAGGAAAGCAAACATGGAAAGGATAAACCAGCACGCGGTAGTTTTCATCAACCCTTCCTTGAAGTGTCAAATTTGACATTGAACTCCTCCCACGTGTATGGCGCTATTGCGTGTCGCACATGCAGCTCAGTGGTTCTGTTAGGGCGATAAGTTCTTCATCTGTGAACATACTCTCAAAGCATGTCAAGTGTCCATGAATATTTATAATATCACGACCTGCATAGGTATTTGCATTTCAATATCCCCAACTGTTTTTGAAGAGTATATTTCTGCAAATTACAAAATCGAGCCATTATCGATAAGCTTGTCGCCAATACTACAATATTTTGTACATGGCTAAATAACCCTATGAGTATCATAGGTGATTGTATACAAGAGACCTTTGATGCTCGAACTTAGATGAGCTCTTGTGACATTTCTCGAAAATCCCGGATTAGATGTTAAATTTTAAAGAATCGAAGAGTCAGATTGCAATATGCCAATTAAATATTCGAGGTTTATGTTATAACTTAGGCGAGTGACTTTCAGTGCCCTTGTGGATTTCTGGTTAAAGGGCCAATTTCGATTATATTTGGGAGAATAAAACTGCTTAATGTTGTGTGAAAAGAGCTTAAAATCCCTTACCTTAGGCTTGGGCAACTAACTCAATTTACGTGATACGTTTTCAAACAACTTAAATCTGTCAGTCTTCATCTGGAAATGGAGACCGGTGTCCCAAGCTGTATTATATGGTGTTTGGATAAAACCAGACTTTTGTTTAATAAAAATAACGTGTTCGTTATCAAGTACAGCACTTTGGTCATGCACTGTATGACCTCTAAAGCAACGGCAATAGATTTTCAGGTCACCCAACGAAAAAATTGACCTGAAATCTTAAAAGGGTTACTTGTCCAGATAAGCAGTTTTAACGGTCACGTCCAAACGACTCAGTATTTTGAGCTGAAATTTTGAGACAAGGTAAATACACCATTCCTCTATATTTTGGCGCTTAAATGTCATACTTACACGGACATTTATTTCTGAGACTCTGTTAAAGTCGGCATGGCCCTTTAATTGTTATTTTGTCTCCCTCACTTTCCTACAAAGAAGAAGGTGTACATGCTGAAGGCCAATGACGAAAACTAGTCATCAACTGAAAATTTACATTTGTACCCCCCCCCCCCCGCCTCCTCTCTAACAGTGGTGCTGGACAGAGAGCATGGCAAGGGACAACGTATAGTCTTTCGGATGGGACGAGAAACCGAAGTCCCTTGTACACACTGCCTAGGGAGTTGGAATTCACAGTATGACATATGCCCGTCTTCATTATCCCAGTCAAAGCAGAACAGTAAGACGTTAACCCCATTTCATTTGATTTCACTTTTGACTGCGAGATTTCATAATTTGTGCGATTCAGGTATAATCACTGGTCATCAAAATAATTTAATTCTGTTTACTGAAAAGCATTGTGTTCGTGTTTTGAATTAGCATCAATTTGTCATTATACTAAGCAAATATGCCTCAAAATGCCGAAAGAATTTTCTGATCTTTTTCATCCAAAAATATCTTGCTATCAATAACATTTAAACAATCTATAATCCTTTTTTATTGTAAGATGTTTACAAATTATAAGAAAATATTCAATCTTAATTAACATAACAACCAAGGATCCTCAACGACAGGTGCGTATGTTAAAAAACTGAAACACCATTTGCACAATAGGAAAAAAATAAAATGAAATACATGGACAGGGCTATCGAAGTGTGATATTAGGGAATGTTTATAATTCTAAATATTGTTAAATACTAATTCTTCTTCATAAATATGTAGTAGCTCTAATGTATAATATTAAAATCACATTATACACGAGTTTCTAAGAAATAACCAGTTCTGTATGGAAGGATAACGTTGCCAGTATTATTTCAATGTTCACGGTGCAAACTGCGTATGTCAGCAGTTGCAAATTATAAAATTAAAATACGTATTTTGAACTGCTGACATATGCAGTTTGCACCGTGAACTATAAATAATATTGGCAACGTTATCCTTCCATAGTTTTGCACGTTACTTTCCAAGGTGGGAAACTGTTAACATCGCAACTGCCGAATATAGGGAAATTTACCCAATAGACTTAAACATGATGTAAGGGCTAAATCGGCCTATTGAAAGTCTTCTTTTTGGCTTCAAATGTTATATAAATTATTTAATTCGGCATTTATGCACTTGACAAACTCATATTTAACTCCCTAGGATATTAAACACAATCATCATTTAATAATTTAACGTAAAAATGGACAATTGAAACTTTGTTTATTATCGCAGCAACGATTCTTTACAATGGAGACTATATCATCAAAACACCCATAACTTCGCTAAGAATAAAGCAATTTGACTGAATATTTTTAATATATTCCTTTCTCATGATCTTTTTTTGCACTATATTTATAAGAACAGCCAACTCTTTATCTAAATCTTGCATAATGCACTTTTAAGTATGTATTATGGCCGCCACTAAGATACTGTCTATCGCTAAATCTGTGTCAGCCACCGACACAGAATTGTTTGGTCCAACGTAAAGTTTTCGATTCCTCATAATCGGCTTTTCATTTAACACCACGACAACAGTCTAACAAGAGTCAGGAGAGATTAATCCTTTCCTGAACACCTGGTGCCATTTTGCATATTTGGATTTTCAGCTGTAAACGCATTTCATTGTCTAAAGCCTGGGGCATAGAGTACCCTACATATGTAGCGGGCTACGCCCTAACGAGGGAGTCGCGGTGGCCCAGTGAGTAAGAAGCTGACTTGCTAGCCTGGAGGTCTCGGGTTCGCTCCCGGTGTTGGCCGAGAAAATTCCTCGGGATTTTACGGTGTGGTTACTCCTTGTCAGTGGTACAAGACGGAGGGCCTGACATAGACAGCGGTCTAGTAGTACGGAGAGAGAGAGAGAGAGAGAGAAAAATGGGGTTTAACGTCCACTCGATACAAACTAGGTCATTTCGGGACTAACATATGGTTCAATTTTATTTACATAAATCGCTTGCGCGTAGGGGTCTTTAGCAGTGGGAGGAAACCGGAGGACCCGGAGAAAACCCACGAGGTTGGACAGGCGACCCTACTCCTTGCCACGTACAACCGGGGATTCGAAACCACGCCAGTCGACTCAATTACAGACTTTATGATACAGCCTAGTCGTACGGATGGGACGACAACCCGAGGTCTCGTGTACACGTAAAATACGCCTCGACAGTTGGAATTCGATAGTCTATAAGGGTAGGCCGTAGAACGGCTTTCCTGGAAAAAAATATTCATAGCACACTGTATGGCGTAAGCCCGTCTTTATTAGCCCAGTCGGTGCAGAAAATTAGGTTTAAAAGAGCTAAATCGCCATTCTTTAACACCTAGAAATGGACACAAATGGATCGCAACGCATATAATAATGTAATAAAAATGTATATAAACTGATTTACATTCAATCGTTTCTGTTGTTACTGTACTTTCTAATCAGTTATGTTCGGCGAAATCCGAATTTAATGGCAGTCATTGGCATCTGGTTAACCCAATCTACACAGGTAGTATTCTCCTATATGGGATATGTTTACACGGGACCTTGGTTTTTTGTCCCATCCGAACGACCAGACAGCTGTCTTTGTCAGGCCCTCCGTCCTGCAATCAATATGTTTGATATTTGCTGTCATTGATTGACGGAACAATAAATTTTATTATAAATGTATTAAATATGTATCAAAATATATTTTTTATATCAATAATTATATCATTTGCATAAATTAAACGAAATATGTGAACAGTATGCAAAATGAAGAATTTTAAAAAAAAATATATGTATAATTAATGTGATACAAAATTTAGGACAGGAAGAAATAAATGAGAATAAATCAAAGTACTGTGCTAATACCAAGCAACAGCGGCCATAAACATTTTAGCCGCTCTCCAACCATTATTGGATCCACCCCAACCCATGTGCAGGTACATTTCGTACTCAGTGCTTGTCGTACATTTTGTACTTCCCCATAGACTTTTTTTGCATTCTTTGCTCGATCGGCTACGGTATTTAGTGGCAACGGGGAAATGTTGGGAAAAAATACCATCAACTCGTATACCCACAACAACAGGCCACTTAGCTCTAAGGAACGCAAGACCGGAATCTCTAATTCCGTCGTCATAGATACCGACAAAGCTCGCAATACCACTGGTTTCCACAGTAACGTTTGGACTGCCTGTAAGTTGGCGTGGCTTGAAATAATCTTCAAATTTCTGCATAGCCCCTTGTGTCGTAGCTCCTTGTCCAGTCAGACAAAAGGTCCCCATTACATCGTGCAGATATTCAGTCAGTTGCTTGACTTGATCAGTTGTATAAGCAGGTGCTTTACAAATGTTTGAACCATTGGTTGCGTCCGGGCTGCACCGGAAGAGTCCCTGACTACCGATAGTATACGTGCTGGGTTTATCATGTGATCTTCTATCATAATACCCAAGGATCATTGCCCAGGCAACAGGACCACACCCAACAGCACAGCATTTAACATCACAATCAATGTCGTGCTGTCTATAATCAGGGAACAGGATTTCGTCATCTATAGAATATTCTGTCCATGGCCCCGTTGTCACCTGTCGCTTGACTCGTCGTCTAGAGTCAATGGATATTTGTTGACCCTTGGTTTCACCTTTGTCGAAAGTAGAGATAGTAAGATAGAATCCACGTGTTGGTTTTTGGATTCTCGGTACATCGAGGTTCACAAAGAGTTGTCCGTATTTTGTCAGCTGGAAGCTTTGCGGGTTTACACGGGTGTTGTCTTCTGGGTGACAGACACCTAGCAGTTGACACAGCCTTGCTTGTTCCTCATCTTCGGTTATGGTGCCGTCGTTCATTACCATGATATTCACATTTTTACTGTCTCCTACAACAATCTTATGGTTGTCTCCGTGTTCAAGAACCCGGAAGTAGGTGTTGTTTTGGAACTTGTTCAACAAAGAGTTCTCCCAGACATGTTCTCGCTCCACATCACGTCTTTGGCTTTCCCATAATTTAGACAGAGTTGAATAATCTGCTTTGGCCAAGATATCTTTGTTCTGAAAAATAATGCAATTTGGTACACGGTAAATACAGATGGCAGCCGTCGTCATATCTTCGTAAATATTGAACGGATTTGAGCCATTTTTGTACTGAGTATACCTATTAGAGATTCAACTTTTACAATATTGTAGTTTGCAAAGGATTCATATTATAACGCAAAGTTCACGACCAGGGACTTATAATAACGTACGCCATCAAGTATCATTCGGGATCATATTCAAAGCAGGTGTTTGGATACGAATTTGGGTTTACAGTGGCAGTGCACGGAAATAATCCCTTGATTGTGGGAACGTCACTGGCTGGTCCCCTTGACCTTGACACATATCAGTCTAAACATAACTGGCCTAAGTAAACAATCAACAAGACGTTAATCCTATTTAATTCGCCCATTCCTTCAATCAATAATAATACGTCATAACTTACGTCAGCAAATATCATTAGACCTTTGTTGTCTTGACATGCTAGGTTAACATCTGGAGTTGGTGTCATCATGAAATATTTAACACATTTAGTTTTCTTCTCTGAGGCTGCCTTGTCCAGATCATCTATTAAAGAAGGACTTGATCCTTGTATTACCAGTTTATAGTCACCTATCAATAATAAACATCAATATTATTATTACCATGGTGAACGTCATCGTTTCGAAATTGGAGTGTCTGTTACAATCCGTTGGATTTTCCTGCATTGTCTCCCTTTGTAAGTGGTTTAAGACAGAAAAATGAAATGAAATGAAGATTAACGTCCTACTGTTCTGCTCTGAACTGGGCTAATGAAGACGGGCATACACCATACAGTGTGCTAGGAGGGAAATTTTTCCCGGACAGCGGTACTACGGCCTACTCTTATATCGAATTCCAACTCTCAAGGGATTTTTTACGTGCACGTCAATGTGTATACGGGACCTCGGTTTTTCGTCCCATCCGAACAACTAGATAGCTGTCCTTGTCGGGCCCTACGTCCTGCATTACTGACACGGGGGTTTTAGGACAGGGAGTCCGACTTAAAGAAACAGCTTATCATTCTGATTTCCTGTTAAATTATATTGTCTTTTTTTTACAAAATACTATACCGGTAATGAAAGAGAGCGTCAATGTTTTCTGCTAAAATAAATGTTTAGTTTGATGAATATGCCTTCCGCTTGTTTAAATAAATGAAGGGTCGAGAGAGAAAGATTTCAAGCATAAACAAAGAAAACTGCCAAGCTGAAGCACATGGAACGTTGCCACTACTGACTATTAAGGACGAGAACTGTAATACATATTATACATCTGAATGTTAAATACAGTATTCCAGTCCAAAAGGCAATTTACAGGTCACAGTTCTATGGAATACAATTACTGCTTGTAACTGAGCGACGTTTTGACTAGGCTTCTCTGATAATTATCAAGCAATATTCCAGTTGAAACAATTTAAAAGGCAATTACAGTATTTACAGAAGACCTTCCGTATATTTGTAATCTAATTTTAAAATACGATGCCACAACAAGAAATTAATGTATTATTTATATCGTCGAGTGATGATATTATTTTTATGTGTATACATTACCTGTTTCCCGACCAGAAGAAAGGATGAGATATTCATCATGGTTGATGAGAATATACCAGTAAGCGACGTAATCTTTAGCCAAATCCTCTCGATAAATGGCAATGGGATCACCTAGAGAACAAATACATAATGTACAACTAATTACCGACACAAGTATTAAAACTGAAAATGTACCCTCCCTCAGGTCATGTGACAAACAAAGTTGCTTAAAATGATTTTTGTAGCTTGGGATAGTTCTTTTTTTGAGATTAAAAAGTTTTGACCTGAATTTTGAAGCAACCTTTTGATAGATAAATTAGTTTAAATCTATTTTTATAAGGCATCTTTAAGTAATGGCAAATCGACGTTAATTGAGATGGTAAAAGTAAAGTTATGGGAGTTATATCGATTATCTCAACACTTGGTTTAGACTATGAAATTTCTCGTGAGAATAAACTAATAGCAATAAGGATTGAAAACATGCATATTATGCTATTATGAAAGGGTGTCCCGCGATCCCAGGCATGGAATTCATACACCTCTACTGGTAAACCCAGGGGAATTACCATCGACCAAATGATTATAGGCAAATACCATGCATTAAATATAGATTTAATACTATGTCTAATTACCTCTAACTGAATCTATATTAAACTGATCAGAGAGTTGTAGGAGAGTTGTTTTCACTTGCCATGGTAACACAGATTCCCAATGATCACCATATACAGATACTGTACATAGTACCAGTAGTATTACACTACCTCCAAACATTTTCTCACATCAACTTCTGAAATAATAAGATATGTTTATAAAAGTCTGTGAAATAATCAGATATGTTTATTAAAGTCTGTGATATGTTTATTAAACTCTCTGAAATAATCAGATATGGTTATTAAACTCCCAGAAAAGTGGCTTGTTCTTAAATTTATTATTTAACATTTAATTAAGACAACACAATAAAAATAACAACAGTAGATGCTCTTCCGGTTTGGATTCAATCAGATTAAAAAAGAGGCCTACCAAAGATTTTAGCGAAGATTACTGGTGGTGCAGGATTTTGTCCATATCCCGTTTATATCGTCCGCAGAGAATGTCGAATGTTGAAAAGTTTTCGAATGAAATGAAATGGGGTTTAACGTCCTACTGTTCTGCTCCTGAACTGGGCTAATGAAGACGGGCATACGCCATACAGTGTGCTATGAAGGAAATTTTGCCCGGGCAGCGGCGCTACGGCCTACTCTTATATCGAATTCCAACTGCCAAAGGATCTTTAACGTGCACGCCAATGTATACACGAGACCTCGGGTTTTCGTCCCACCCGAACGACTAGACAGCTGTCCTTGTTAGCCCCTCCGTCCTGCATCACTGACAAGGGGAACCACGCTGGAAAATCTGGATGAACTTTCTCGGCCAATGCAAGGATCGAACACCCGACCTCCGAAAAGTTTTTAATTCATCATTTCTTTGTATTATTCATTCAACTTTCACGATATTGTAGTTTGTAACGGTTTCCCAATCACCGAAATGACTTTAAAAAGGCTTTTATTTTCAAAATTACAAGATAAACTGTTTGTTACCTATGTAAACTTCCCAATTAAATGAAAAGCGTTCAGACCAAAAATAATGGGAGGAAAAGTTGGAACCAAGAAAACAGACCAGAAAATTAACGGTGGCCTGCCTCCATATATGGTTTAACTATATATATTGCGTCCCTTGATTTTGCCTTTGCATTTGCCCCATTTCTGAAAATTGAACTGATCTAAATCATGATTGTACAATAAAACAATACAATGTTTGGGAAATGCTCCCCATTCGTGCCAAACTTTTATGGGGTGCAATCCTTGTGGATTTGTTTTCTCTACGAGCGAAGTCTGTATAGCAGGTCCGGAACTGTGGGCTTAACCCCTGCCCGATCCTGTCACCCAATTAAACAATACTTTCATTAATTATTACTTACACAGGTCTTCTTCTGGTATCTGCTTGTGTTTCTTACCTAATTAAACTGTAAGGAACGCTTGCCAACTGTTAAACAAAACATAGATTATCTTTGTTCACTTTATAACCGCCCAATCAGTTCTGTGGATAGATATCTTTATCACCTTGCAGAATAGACATTTTGGTGTAGTTTTTAGAAGACATAGATAGGCCTATTATATCTTTATTTGTCAAGAACTTATCTTCACCACACCAGAGATATTTTACATAGAAATATGACCGACAACATCAAATATATCGTATATGTAATGTCTTTTTGGTAGTTGAAATATGTCGCTTATGTTTCCTGTCTTTATTTCTATTATTTCATCTTGGTCAGAATTCGGTGTTTTTTTTCTCCATTTATTAGTGTTTCGGCTAATGAGTTTTAAAATGTAGATTGCGCAATCAACTGACATTTTAATGTACAAAAATTAATACAATACAATACAATATGTGTAGTAATATGGAGGGAAAGAATTTGTGCTTTGAAACATCTATGTAAAATAATATTACGGTTTTTATTAATTATTCAACATTGCCTTAATATTAGCTATGGTATAGGTTAATTCTGAAACGCAAATTAAAATTGTTTATGAATATTGTGACAATAGCAAAACATGGGGTCTAAAGACAAAAGATAGAGAAATATGAGGGCCGAAACAATTTCATTATATTTACAAATTATTGTTACGGTCTAGTAAACCACTAGAAACGTCAACGCTGATTGATTAATTAATGTCTAACGTCATAGAGTCAAAAGCCGCTCGTTTGACCCCTGACGTGAACTTCCACTATAACTTGTCAGATCTTCATGTAGTGTAGGCCATCGAAAGTATAAAAAAAATACGAAACAAAATATAGATCTGTATTTTAATCAGATTGAATACAGTACGGTGTCTTTGTAGAAACAAAGTACGAATCTATCAATCCACAAATTTCCTGGACCATAGATTCTGAGACCGCACTAAAATTACGTTTCTAAATATGTCCTGAAGTTTGATAAAAAAATAATTTATGTGATGTTAGGTTCTCTTTATAAACGGGGGTCACGGTGGCTAAATGGGTAAGCGACTGGCTCGCTAGCCTGTTCGATCCTTGCATTGACCCAGAAAGTTTATCCAGATTTCCGGCGTGTTTCCCCTTGTCAGTGATACAAGTTGTAAATATTTGAAGTTTAGACAATAAACTGCAATCGTCTGCAGACTACGCCAACATTTCATAATCTCAATTGTCAAGTTCCATTGCAGTTTCCGTGAGTGATGTCATGTCTTACCGGAAAATTTCGGACTGACCGGCCACATTAGCATTTACCCATATATGTTGTGCAATTTCTAATCCACTCAATATCTGAGTCACCTGATGGCCTAGAGAGTTGATAATGGGTTTACCATCTGAATTAATTCCTAAATAATAATTTATATAACATTTGAAGCCAGAAAAACACACGGCAAGTATATTTGACTCTCGTATAATGCCTCTATAAGCTTAATTTGAGCGAAACCTAAACAGACCGATTATAAATCATACCAAGTAAAATTATATTAGTTAATGGACACTTTATCAATCTGATTAAAACACAGATCCTATTTCGTTTCGTTTTTATAGTTCAAAAATTCCTTAAACTTATCTTTCATGTAGTGTAGGCCGTGGAAAGTATAAAAAAAAACCGAAACGAAATATAGATCTGTTTTCAATCGGATTGGGCACTTTGTGTTATATTATTCACTGGAGGATGAGATAAAAATGAATAATTTAGAATTTAAATGTAAAGAGAACTCAAGACTGTGAAATTAAATTATTCGCTTAATTATGAAAGTGAACCAGCTTATGTGTCATAATCCAAAAATAAATGGTATCGGGTGTTCTTGACAAAGTTCACATCATACCCCGCTTCGTGCACGACACTGCTAATGCTTATACCTAAGGTATAGATATTTAAAAAGGAAACATTTTCAAATTTTATTACAAAAATTCAAATTGTAAGAAATCAAGTTGGAATGAAATGAGAGAGAGAGAGAAATGGGGTTTAACGTCCACTCGACACAAACTAGGTCATTTCGGGACTAACATATGGTTTAATTTTATTTCAATAATTCGCTTGCGCGTAGGGGTCTTTAGCAGTGGGAGGAAACCGGGGGACCCGGAGAAAACCCACGAGGTTGGCCAGGCGACCCTACTCCTTGTCACGTACAACCGGGATTCGAAACCACGCCAGTTGACTCAATGACAGACTTTATGATACAGCGCGCACACGCTAACCCTTCAGCCATCCAACCCCCCTGGAATGAAACGGGGTTTAACGTCTTACTTTTTTCTGCAGCAACCGGACTAATGTAGACAGTGTGCTATGGGGAACATTTTTCCCGGGCAGTGGCATTTCCGCCTAATCTTCATCGACCTTTGAACGACTAACCTGTGCTCCTCGCAAGCCCCGCCTCTTTCTTTGCACCACTGACAACAACAAAAGGAAAAAGGTAACCTTAAAATGAAATAAAATGGGGTTATCGACCGTTCTTCTCCAACCGGGAAGTAACATTAAAATGAAATGAAATGGAAATTCTCCGGCCTACCGTTCTTCTCCAACCGGGAAGTAACATTAAAAAGGTAAAATATTACAGAAAATAAAAACAAGATCAAGATAAAAAAAATGAAAAACATTCGTAACTTTTCATGAAATATAAGAAATATAATAAAAAAAGATGGAAAGAAATAATAAAGAAATGAAATGAAATGGGGTTTAACGGCCTACTCCGACAGGGCTGATGAAGACGGGCATGCGCCATACAGTTTGCTATGAGGGAAATTTTGACCGGACAGCGGCACTACAGCTTACTCTTATATCGAATTCCAACTGTCAAGTTTTCAACCCAATACCAATTTGGGAACATTGAGAATTAACAATAAAATCAATAGGAAAATGTATTGAATTACACCCTCCTCCACACCGATCTTTTTTCGTTCAAAATTCTCCGACTTGAAGTAATTTTTTTATTCATTGTTAAAAACAGTTATACATCCGTGTCAAAAAAAAGTCATTGTGCGAGTGCTTCATTCCGTTAAAGCAAACGAAGTTGTCACTTAAAGATGTCGAAAATAAACACATTGAAGGATATGACCTACTAGTACTATTAATTCAAGTGTGTCAAGTTCTCAATGCTAGAGCGAACCAATCGGAAGGTACAACAAGTGTTAGATTAAAAGTGATTGGATAAAAAAACTGGTTTACCTGAACATCGAGCTACGCTTCAGTAATTTAATTCATACTATTTATCCCAATCCGTAAAACAGATCCTGTTGTAAAGGTATAAAAGATGTGGAAAATAATATTTTGTTATATCAACCAAGAGATCTTCGACAGGGGTACAGACTTCGATAAAACACAACTGGGTAAGAAACTTTAATATTTTGCTCCAGCCTTGATTTCTTATGTCCACAAAACTCTATATTTTGTTATGTTATAAAGCTTGTCTTTATTTTTAGGCTATGTCATTTTGTTACGCTTTCATTGCTAAAATTGAGCTATTTTTACATATTTTTGATGTTAAGATTATTGGTTTATGCTTTTAATGTTATATTTAATTGCTTTTGTTTTGGCAGTAGGACGTTAAACCCCATTTCATTTCATTTCATTTGCTTTCGTTTTGATTTCGCACCGTTTATTGCCCTATATACCTATCATAGCGTCTAGTGTCGGACACGAAGGTAAGGGTTCTGGAACGTCAGATTTTGTTTATAACAAACAGCTGAAACATTTGTATTGGCACTTGCATTAATAATTAAGCTTTATTAAAATGTTTACTTAAACTCTACTACCCCCCCCCCCCCCCCGCCAATCTATATGACAATTACTATATTATCATAGAAAAAAAAACGGATTATATCTTTAATTTTCGGGTTGACCTTTGAATATTGATTAGCCTTAATTAATTGAATATTGATTAGCCTTAATTAATTAATTAATTATATAATTAGATGCAGAATGTATTTCACAATTTAATTTAAATATAATTTCAAAATTTACATTTAAGTTCTGTTAAAGTCTATATAATTTCACCCTCCAGTGAATATAATGTTTTAGAGTATTGATCAATGTTTATTAATTTGTTTAATTTATTTTATCTGGTACGATTAATAAGTAATCATGTAAGCTTCGTTAGAATAGGTATTATAATTATCTATGTCATTTTGTGCCTCTACACTTATATTCGGTGGCTACGTGGGTAAGACGCTGGTTCGCTAGTCTAGGGGTCGCGTGTTCGATCCCTGCATTGGCCAAGAAGGTTCATCGGGATTTTCCGACGTGGTTTCCCTTTGTTAGTGGTGCAGGAAGGAGGCCTGACAAGGACAGCTGTCTAGTCGTTCGGATGGGGCGAAAAACCTAGGTCTCGTGTACACATTGGCGTGCACGTAAAAGATACCTTGGCAGTTGAAGTTTGATATAAGAGTAGGCCACAGTGCTGCTGCCCGGTCAACATTTCCCTCTATATAGCACACTGCGAGCATGGCGTATGTTCGTCTTCATTAGCCCAGTCGGAGCAGAACTGTAGGACATTAAACCCCATTTTATTTCATTTCTTATATTCGTGCCGACGGTTTGTATTTAGCATTTTGGTGCCCCCCATAGATAAACCATAATACTAGTAAACCACAAAAAATAAATTTGCATTTGTCACAATGATTTGAATACACGTCATTATTAAATGAGAAAAGACAAAAACAATGAAAAACTAATGTAAAGTTCTTAATTGATTTCTAAATTAAAATATAAATCAGAAATTATGCGGTGCCCCATGTCCCACGATTGCCAAAGCATGTGCTTAGTGCTTAGTTTGCTTGAAGTTCGAAGTTTCTTGAGCTTCATCTCTTCGTTTCAGAAACACACAATCATTTTTGCTATCGATGGATGGTATCAATATTGGTAACTAGGGAATATCTATAAGAATTGAAATATTTTGAGCAAATAAAATGTAACTTAATATAATTTTTATATAATTGATCATCTGACAGTGGTTTCCTCTTTTTAGATGGAAATGAATAAATTGACCAGGTGGGATGGAACACTTAATAACACTTATCATTTAAACAATGATCATCAAAATTAATAAACATATCTGATTATTTCACAGACTTTAATAACTGATTATTTCGCAGACTTTAATAAACATATCTGAATATTTCAGAGACCTTAATAAGCATATCTGAATATTTCACATATTTTAATAAACATATCTGATTATTTCGCAGACTTTAATAAACATATCTGATTATTTCAGAAGTTGATGTGAGAAAATGTTTGGAGGTAGTGTAATACTACTGGTACTATGTACAGTATCTGTATATGGTGATCATTGGGAATCTGTGTTACCATGGCAAGTGAAGACAACTCTGCTACAACTCTCTGATCAGTTTAATATAGATTCAGTTAGAGGTAATTAGACATAGTATTAAATCTATATTTGCTGAAACTGACTATTTGTTTGTGGCATATAATATAATAAAACGTTAAAACTTGGTGTAGCAGGGATGTATATATGTGGTGTTCTGTGTGATTGTCTGGAAACGCCTAGATCATTAGGTCTGTGTTGTCTTGAGTTTATAAATACATCCTATACTCGCTTGGTCGATGGGAATTCCCCTGGGTTTACCAGTAGAGGTGTATGAATTCCATTCCTGAGATCGCGGGTTCGATACCTCTCAGGAGCATCCTCTTATAATAGCATAATATATTCAATCCTTATTCCTGCCTGCCATAGTCTATTCTCAGGCGTTAATCGCGGCAGCTCTACCAACACTTTTGTAGATTTAAAACAATTAATATTTTGTCGATAACGTTTGAGACAGTTCATGTTTTTTTGTCAAGTAAAGTTTTGATTAATATGTTAGTCCCGAAATTACCTAGCTTGTGTCGACGGGACATTACACACTCATTTTATTTCGTATTTACAAGTATACATTATATTGATGTGATGATTTAGCCAAATGTGTAGCCCATGTGAAATATTATTTATAAATTCACGATTATGTATTTGTTCTGTAGGAGATCCCATTGCCATTTATCGAGAGGATTTGGATAAAGATTACGTCGGTTACTGGTATATTCTCATCAACCATGATGAATATCTCATCCTTTCATCTGGACCAGAAACAGGTGAATATAATTTATACATAAAAAATACGAATTTATTTAACACATTATTTTCGTCTTCCTTTAAACTATTCTCAACTGTTAGTATACATATATATATCTGTCTGATGATCACCCTGGTAAAAGGTAAGATGATATTAATTAGTATTTTATATCTAAAACTTCATACATTGATCAAAGTAGATAAAATACAATTACTTCTATGTTTACGTTATAGGTCAATACATAAAAAATTAAAATATACGCCCAGGGCCCTGTTTCTTGAAATCTTAACTAAAGATAAAATCCAAATATTAGTAGATACTTCAATTTTGATTGGCTAAGTACTAAAATCAATCTAATATTATCCAGACCATTACTAAAATTTGGATTTTATCTCAGTTAAAAATTCGTGAAACAGGTCCCAGTTAAATAAAATCACCAACTTTTATTTCTTCATTCCGATTTACATCAAATCATAAACAAACTGTCCGACCTTAATTGAACGTCTTCAAATTTGATAGCGCATATAAATAATTATATGAATCATAGTTTTACTTTTAAAGCCCAAAACTGTTTAACTAGTCTCTTATGGTCAGCGCTCTTTTAGTTGTCAAGCACCTGTTTTATGGAATAATCTACCATTTAGTTTAAGATGTTGTACATCTCTATATTCTTTTAAAAAACAACTTAAAAACACATTTATTTAATCAGGCTTTTAACTGACTCTGTATACAATCGTTAACATGTCCATAATCTTGTTGTTTATGTATGATTTACATTGTCACTTTGTAAAGTGCCCCTGAACATGTTATATGAAAGGGTGCACTATAAATATGCTGTAATAATAATAATAATTTTATAAATATGTAGCATAATAGATTACCATGACAATTGGTTATAAATAATATCAGGTAGAACATTTTTTAAAGCATAAAATACCGTCATTGTGTCAAGTGTCATGGTTTCAATTCCTCGTTTATACGTGACAAAGAATAGGGTCGCCTATCCAACCAGCAGGGTTTGTTCCAACCCACCGAATTCCTCCCACTGCTAAATCCCCCCCCCCCCACACAAGCGAATAATTGAAATAAATTTGAACCATGTGTGAGTCCCGAAATAACGTAATTTGTGTCGAGTGGGCGCTAAACACCCTCCCTCTCTCTATCTCTCTCGTTGTCTCCTGATGTTAATTAATAGAGCAGATAATAATAACATAGTGCAATCATACATACTCTTCAGGACCAGCCGCCATCATTATCAAATTTAGCATTGCCGCGGGCACAATCGTTACTTCCACTAAAATATAGATCACATTTAAAAAGCATTGCATACTTCCACTAAGATGTCGAACAAATGGAAATATTATTATATGGTTCACTTAATATGGACTAGAGTTAACTAAAACTAATAAAACAAAACAGCTCGTACCTGTCTAAGCCATCCCGACCATTAAAAGCATTCTTTCCCTAAATTCTAATGTCAATGGGCGAAAGACAGTGTCGACAAGAATATGACCCACGTAGTCTTGATATGCCCTAAGGCGTTTGGGCCGAGTTAGTACCTAGAAGAGTTATCGCGTAGGAAAACCAAGGCTAGATCTATTTGTTAAGGCTATCTAAATTTTCGTCAAGGTCACTGAGATGTAAATAAGGTTAGGATCAGGGTAAGCGTTAGGGCTAGGTTCAGGGTTACGGTTGGCTTTATCAAATAGATCTAACCGAAAAACTAAGTGCTGTATACTCATAATACCGGTAGGTGCACGAAAGTGTTATCTAATATTAAGACCAAAGCTAGGCTAGATTAGCTCAAATCTGTACCACCTAAAACAGCTTTGGAGTTGTTCAGTACCACCACAGGAGTCATGAATGACCACTGCCAGACATTTTGTGCGGTGGGTTACCCCTTACAGACACGCCCCAAAATGCCACACCCCCAACTAGGCTAACTTCGCAAGCACTGTTCCCGTGTTTTAAAAAATTAAATTTTTAGCCAGGATGCGTAGAATACTAATACCTAGCACATATGGAAGAGGCGATAAACTGCGGTTGCCAGAAATTGATTTTATGGGAAAAAAAACGTTTTATTGGGCTAAAAATGCGTTTTTGAAAAAAAAAAATTGTTCCTGCAACAGGGCCGGCTAATCTATCCTAGTTGGAGGGTGTGGCATTTTGGGCGTGTCTATTAGGGGTAACCCACCGCACAAACTGCCTGGCAGTGGTCATTCATGATTCCTCTCGTGGTACTGAACAACTCCAAAGCTGATTTAGGTGGTACAGATTTGAGCTAATCTAGCCTAGCTTTGGTCTGGAAATTAGATAACTCTTGTCAGGGATTCTCCATCACTACAAATGTCCGGAAATTACATAGCTCTGTCAGGGGTACCCCACCACTAGAAATGTCTGTCAGAGTGTTTTTGTAATACCTGACGATGCGCGGTACATTGCTGTGCGATTTTCATGTGGTACACTTTTAAGCTAATCTAGACTAGTTGGGGGGCATGGCATTTTGGGCGGGGAATCCCACACCCACCACCAGAAACCCGGCAGACACTTTTCAGCTAGGTTAACCCCCTGGGCTCCCGCTCTATTATACCCCATGTCATTTCATTTTGGTCTGTCTTCTTTCACAACAGTTTGGTCAGAATTTCATGCTTGCGGATATTTTTCGGATAATTCTTGATGGGACACTAGAAATTCAGAGTCGATCAACGATTTGGTACTTGTGGCCCAAAGCTACCCTTCTGTATGCCACAGAGGTCGTACATGTATATTTGTTGCCTGGCAACATTAGTGTATCATACAGAAACATTTTACTCTACAACTGTTACGTAATCGCATTTTATTTCATATTCAGAATTGTACCTACTTTAATATAAAATATTTAGAAGTTAAACATTTCTGATTTCCAGTTGTGTGGAGAAGTGTTGTTGCAAATTATAGCGCAGGATTATTACTTAATTTATCTATGAAATTGATGGGTAATGCTCACCTCTCCACACCAAATATACTTAGTCATAAATTATCACATCTATGAAACTGATTGGTAACACCCACCACTTCCCACCAAATAATTCTTGTGTCTATTTATCTATGAATGTGATTGGCATCGTATGCGGGGTATAGCATAGTAGTTTCAAACCCATGTGCCAATTAATAGCATTTATCCGATTTCCTTCGAATGTTTTCGTATTTTTAGCTTCCCATCTATATAATATGCCAGAGCAGTACAAATTATTAAAGATAAAAAGACAAAAAGACAAATAAGTCGTTTATATGAGATAATAAGGTTCATTCGTTAAAGTCCTCTTCCAGGAAGAAGGGAAACAAAGGAACTTAATTACCTCGTTTAAAAGACTTGTTGTTGTTGTTTATTACAAATTTAACGTCCAATACATAATGCATGATATTATGAACAGGTTGATGTAATTAAGTTATTTATATCTGAATGAGTAATATAATGACTGGAGATAATTGAGATACTTAAGTGTTTTGATAGAGATAATTGATTGGTTTAATGGAGATATTTAAGTTGAATAATGGAGATAATTAAGTGGTTTAATGCAAATAAGTGAGTCGGTTGACGGAGATAATTAAAGAAGCTAAGTCGCTAATATTTTGGACCTAGAAATTGACACAAATGGGTCGCAACGCATACAATAATGTAATATGAAAGTATATAAATTGATTTACATTCAATCGTTTCTGTTTTTACTGTAATTTCTAATCAGTTAGGTTCGGCAAAATACGCCAGTATTCTCAATCGAATTTCAATCTCTAGGGTCTGGTTATTCCAGTCTACGCCGATAGTATTTATTGGGCATGCTCTCCAGATAAGAATATAGCGTCACCGTTTGACATGACTTGTGGAATATGCCTACCCTCGTTTTTCGAGTCCCTTATTAAAAATAGCGCTGAAACGCATTATGGTACACGATTCGTGTACCATTTGTAAAATGTTTATTTTGTCTTAAATATTGGATATCAGAAGGCCATCTTTTCCCAGTAAGATCACAACATCACACTATAAACCTCAGAATGCCTCGTTCGGCATTTCTGTCCAAACGAGGCAAAAACGTGTCAAAATTTTTGCCCCGATTTTGCCTCGTTGTAACGAGGTAAAAAAAATACCTCGTTTCTCTGGAGTTCCAAAACGTGTTTTTTTTTAAATTGCCCTGTTTTTGGAACGAGCTATTTTGTTCAGAACGAGGCTGGGTAAAATTGCCTCGTTTACTAAACGAGGTATTTTATCCAAGATAATTATTATCGGTATTTTCTGTCAACAAATAGAGCCATACAAATAATGTTTGGACCATCATGTGACCAATTGCAGATCTACAAATTAGATTATTTATTTGGGACATGATATTGTTCATAGTTATGGCTTACTACACTGGAGTTCTATTATGTATAATAAACGCTTCCCGAGCGAAACAAAACATAACAATGACAATATTACATATGGCGGATACAAGCGTTCTTTGATTACATGCTGTTTGGTTTCATTATTAAATAATACGGCAATCTGTATATATGGGAAAAGGAGAATGAATTTCCCCAAATCCAAAACTAGATGACTGGAATATTTATTGAATGGAAAGTAAATATTTTATAAACAAAAATATTCGGATTTGCAGTATCCTAGCTTGGATGGATTTGTGATTTGAATCTCGAACTCAGTGTTTTATACATTTTATTATAAAATTGTAATAAATGTTTTACATGAATGAATAAAATCTACAATTTAAAACAGTACAATAACATTGTAATTTGACGCTCTACAAATCACTAAGAGTATAACAATTGTTTGTTGAAAAAGCGTTAATAATATGTTTTTTTCCAATGCAGCAAAACCTACTGGACTGTTGTACTTAACTTATTATTTTTTAAAAATATATTCAAAAAGAATGCGTCTTTTACAGATTTCAATATAACCACAAATGGTTGATTGTTTTAATGCTAAGATAAGTATTAATGGTTTGTATTTGAAAATCAAATTATATAAGCGAAAAATAGTAAGATACA